GTACAATTAGTAACATATCTTTTTTAAATGTTTGGATGATGGTATATTTTCATATTCACTCAAAAATATTTCTAAATACTTGAGACTATTTCTTTCACCCATAGATAATTCATAAGTGTTATTTAATTCTTCATTATTATCAGAGACTATATCTGGTATAATATCAATTCACTTAAATTTGTCAGGTTTTGTTTCACAATTCAAGATAGGGTGATTGCTCTACATGTACTAGAAAATAAAGTATATTCTGTTATTTTCAGTGTGTTAGTTAGGTCAAGATGGTTGGTAGTGTTGTTCACATCTTCTATATCCTTGCTGACTTTCTTTCTGTTTCATCTATTACTGAGAGAGAGGTGTTGAAGTCTCCAAGAATAGTTACGGATTTATCTGTTTCTGTTTTTACTTGTTAGTTTTGAAGCTCTGTTATTAGGTGCACATATACTTAAGACATTACTATATGAATTGATCACCTTATGAATACATAATATCATCTCTTTTCTCTGAAGTATATTGTGTCTGAAATAAAAACAGCTACTCTGGCATTCTTTGGAGAAGGATTTGCACAGTCTGTTGTTTAACATCCTCCTTTTAACCTATCTAAATAATTTATTAGAAGTTTCTAATAGATAGCATACACTTAGGTCAAGTTGTTTGGTTTTTAAAAAATATTTATTTTTTAATTTTAGGTGGACACAATATCTTTATTCTACATTTATGTGATGCTGAGGATCGAATCCAATGCCTCATGCATGCTAGGCGAGCACTCCACCACTGAACCACCAGTGGGTTTTTTAATCATTCTCATAATCTGTCTTTTAATTCATATGGTAAGACTTTTTGGGCCCCCCCCCCCCGCCCCCGCCAATACTGATAACTAAACCCAGGGCTTCACATATGTAAGACAGGGTCTCACAAATTGCCCAGGCTAGCCTTGAACTTGGAATCCTCCTGCTTTGGCCTCTCAAGTTGCTGAGATTACAGGCATGTGCCACCATGCCCGGCATGAGAGAACTTTTTCCTTTTTGTTATTGGTATATTTAGATTAAGATCTGCCATTTTGTTTGTTTACTGGATTGCCCCCCTGTTCTGTTAGATTTCGTTTTTTGATACTCTATTTCTTTCTCTTTTTCTCTTTCTCCCCTTCTTTGTGGTTATTTGATTGTTTAAAAAAATTCATCTGAATTTATCTACAATAACTTCGAACAATTCTTTGAATGGTTGTTCTAGGAGTTCCAGAACACATACTTAACTTTTCAGTTCTACTTAGAACCAGTACCTTATCACTTCAATGGGAATGGAGAAACATCACAAATGTACAGGTCACTGTATCCACCTTATCATAATTATGTTAATATACTATATCTACAAACATTGAAAACTCCTCAAACATTACAATCTTTTTTTTTCTTTCAACTGTTAGATATGTTTTTTTTTTTTTTTTTTTTGTTTTTTTTTTTTTTGGGGGGGGGGCAGCAATATTCTACAGAACTCAAGAGAAGAATAGATTATTATATCCGTCCAATATGATCTTGGTTCAGTCCTCATGTTCTAAGTTACTTTCTGGAATCAATTCCCTTTTGTCTAAAGATCTTTAATAATTCTTTTGGAGCAGGGGTACTGGCTGCAAGTTCTCTTCATTTTCTTTGAGAATGGCATTATTTCATTTGTACATCTAAAAGGCATTTTCCCTGAAAACGGAATTCTGGATTGTCAGTTCTTTTCTTTCGATACGTTGTAAATGTCGTCCTGCTTCCTGCTGAACTCCATGGTTTCTGGTGAGAAATCTGCAGTGATCTGAATTCCTGTCTCTTCTAGGGAATGCGTCATTTTTTTTCTGGCTGCTTTTGCTATTTTGTTGTTGTTATTTTGTTTTGTTTTGGTAGTGGGGTGGAGGGCAGCTTTGGTTTTCAGCAATGTGTACAGGCACATATTTCTTTGTTTCAACCTGATTAGAGTTTGCTTAGCTTCTTGAATCTCCACGTTTATGCCTTTCACCAAAGTTGGGAAGTTTTCAGCATTATATCTTCAAATATTTTTTTTGGCATTCTTATCTCCCCTCCTTCTAGAAATCTGACACAAACACTAGACCTTTGTTATAGATCCACAGATCCTTGAAACTGTTCACTTTTTCTATCTTCCAGTTGGATGATTTTAGGTGTTTTTAATTTCAGCATTAAAACTTCCATTTGTTTCTTCTTTGTATTTTCTATTTCTCTGCTGATACTTCCTACTTTAACATTTGTTTCAAGAATGTTTGTGATTGCTTGTTCAGGCATATTTATAATAGCTGCTTTAAGTTGTTGTCAGATCATTCCCTCATCTATGTCTTCTTATTATTGGATGTGTTGGCTTTTTCCATCTGAGTTGACATTTTCATGATTTTTCACTTCCCAAATAATTTTGGATTCAATTCTGAACATCTTGAAGGATATTATGAAACCTTGAGTCATGGTTGAATCCTATGCTAAATGTTGATATTTTTGCTTTAGCAGGCAAATGACCTGGTTAAGTGCAGACTGCAAGTTGCAGCCTGCCCTGGTTCAGCTATCAGGGCTTTTGCTGGACTAATCTTATCTGAAACTGGTTTGTGTCACTTAAGGGCCAGTCTGGAACATAGGTAGGTTTATCTATTGATTTAGTTCTCAAAATTTTTATATGCTAATTAGGACCAGATTCATGCACACACAGGCTGGAGTTGCATCTAGGAATTCAGCTTGATGGGGTTGTTTTCCCAAGCTCCTCCCTTTCTGTGTCCTGGTTCCCTGGAACTTCCTGTTCTGAACCTCTGGCCAGAAATCACCTAGTGCCGTGACTGTGCCAAGTAGGGTGACAGAAAGAAAAAAACCATCCAGTTTGAGGTCTAAGCCCCTAGAGACCTGGCTGTCCCCTGACATGGTTCCACCTGCTGCCACGCCATAGACTGATCTAGGGGCTGGTACAAGAGAAGAGGGGAAAAGAAAAAGTGGGGGTGGGGGGGATTCCCTCCTGAGCTTTAGGAATTCCCTTTCCAGTTCTCTGAGCTGCAACTTGAGGGTGTCCCTGGGAGTCTCTCTCTGGTACTATAGAGCTCAACTCTGGCCTGAAGGCTAGGTTCAGGCTGGGACATACTGAAGGGAAATGTGCTAAACTCTCAGCAGTCTCAGTGGTACCTGAATCCTGGTCATGCCCCATCTTCCTGCTGCTAACGTTTCCCTGAGTGCTCAGAGAGCTGGATCACGTCTGTCCAGGATTCACAGCTCAGCTCAGTAGCGACAAAGGCTGGTGTGTGTGCTTGCCCCATCTTACCCAGAGCCCAGCTCCCCTGCCTAGTTATTATTTTTTTTACTTTGTGGCAGATATTATACTTTAAAAAATTGTCTGTGCAAGTCACTTGAAATCCAAAATGATGTTTTCTCCCTCAGAAAGGTCTTCTGTGCTCCTGCCCGAGCACACAGCACTGGGATCTCCTGATGAGGGGCCAAAATGTCCAGCCTGGGCTCCTCCCTCTGCAGCTCTGCCTCCTCCATTGGGCCCTGCCTCTAGTGCACAGCTTCTGCAGGGCCACCATGGGCCCTGGACTCTGTGCCCCTTCTGTCTAGCCATGGGGCAGCTGAAGCTGTGCTCAGCCTCTCCTGTGGATGGGACATGCTCCAGGCGAAAGGGCCTTGCCCTCCTTCTCTGCCTCTGCTGACCCCAGCCTGGTAACTGCCCTCTATTCAGATTTCCAGTGCCCTTGAGCAGGTGATTCTCATAACCTGTCAAACTTCTTTGGTCATCTTCAGTGGATGTTTGATCCAAATCCACACACTGTCACTCACTTTTCCCGTCTTAATAGATACCCTGACTCTGAAAGGTTTCCAGAGGTCGACCTCTCAGTATGCACACGAAGGACGACGGTTGAACTCTGGGCTCTCAACCCCACACCTCGCTGACCTTTGACCCCACATCACAATGTCCCCTGAGCCTATAGCATGCTGTCCCTTGACCCATACCACAATGACCCTTGACCCTACACCACACTGGCCTTTGACCTCCACATCACAGTGTCCCTTGACCCCACATCACAATGTTCTGTGACCCCATATTCACAATGTCCCTTGACCCTACACCACACTATCACTTGATCCCTTGACCCCTATGCTGCACTGAAATTTATTTTTAGAGGCTTTTCTTTCACCTGGGAGTGTGCACAGTACAGTCAAGAGTCAAATTCCCCTTTTAAAAGGGAGTCTTTCAAATAAGGCTGTTGGTCCCTGACTTCTCAGTTCCCATGACCAGACAGCACCCCATCTCAGGGCCTGGCTTCTTTTGGGGTTTTCTATTAAGCTGACTTTTTCCTGGTGGTAACAAATCTCCAAAGGTACAATGGAAGGCACTGGAAACACAAGAGGAAATCAAAGTTGTCTTACAAATATTTTTTTTTATCAATGTACCATAATGGTGGTTTAAGTTTTAGCCACTCTTTTTTGGCCAAGTGATAGGGAATAAAAAACCTTAAACTGGCTTAAATGACTAGTTTTGTTTTTCCAAAGGACCATAAAAATCAAGATTTCCCCCACAGCCCGAGGGCAAACTTACTGTCCTCTGTAGGCAGATCCACAACAGTGATCCCCATCCATGGGGACCACTGGGAATCAGGCTCAGAAATAAAAGGGCTTTTCCCACCCCACACTTCTTGCCAAGCAGGACCCCAGGGTGTGTTTTCCCCATGAAACAGGAAGGGTGCAAAGTTTACGAGGCAGCACAGAGGCAGGGCAGAGCCTCACCTGCGCCTCACCTGTGCCTCACCTGCGCGGTGGAGATAACAGGGCAGGTTCCAGCTTATGCTTAGCTGATCCGGTAGAAAACAGGGATGGATAGGGAAAACAGCCCAGTAGGCTGCCCTAAGTTTGGGGTGACAGTGTGGAAGGCCCCTCGCATGGTGCTGGGTGCCCAGTGCACACCAGTGAAGGGATGTACAGAAGGAAGCCCGTGGGTTACCTGGGGAGGGATCCCAGGGTGGGGGTTGTGGCTGCTCCTACCTTGGCTGGCTTCTGGCTGCAGGGAGCTTAGAGGAAGTGGGGGTGACGATTCAGGGGCATCAGCTGCTGGGTGCTCAGCCACCGGACAGATAATAAACCACCTCTTCCCCGTGTGCAAGACTGAGAAACAGAACAAGAACAGCATGCTGAGACCAGGTGACACCTCTGCCACAGCGGACCGTCACAGGGGGCTCCACAGAACTTTGCACCCACAGGATTTACTCAGAAGGGCATGGGCAGGGAACCCAGTTCCCAGTCACAGTCCAAAAGAGCTTCCCTCCATGACACAGATGGTCCCCAGGCCCCTTGAAAAAGAGGCCCTGAGGAGGGGCTTCTATATCCTCTCTCACCCAGAGGGGTGGGGGATGGGCGGCCAGCCCGAGACTCAGGAGTGCCCTGGGTTCATGTTTAGTTCCTAGGATGCCTGCAGCATCGGCCGTGAAGGTGGTGATGCCAGTCAACAGGTGACAGACTTCAGATGGGGTGGCCACTCCCAGATGGGGGACCCTTGTCACCACACACTCCCACCCCCACCCCCACTGCAATGCCAAGACCCTGACACTATGCTCATTGGAGGCTTCAAAGCAAACACCTGCTATAGAGCAGGGGACAGGGACACTAGGGAATGGCTCTTCCCAGAACCCCAGGCTCATCTGCTCTGACAGGTGTGACCCGAGGTGGGGGCAGACTCACCGTTCTGCTGATACACAGGGGCATTTGCTTGGGACTGTCCACTCTCCTGCATGAGGGAGAGGGATCGGAGGTCAGCGCAGCCCGCGTTCAGGGAGAACTTCCTTCAGAGCTTCCCGCTGAACTGCAGGGTCCACCCTCCCACCCCACAGCACCCTCCACTGCTTCCTGGGGACGCAGGCTCTCACCTCCCCCACAGCCAGACCACAGGACCCCAGGTGTGGTGGGCTGACCCCCGCATCAGAGCCACGGTCAGCATCTGTGTCCTCGCTGAGCATGTCCTCTGCCTTGTCCATGACATCCTTCATCTGCTCGATGAACGTCTCCCGCTCAGCGGGCAGGATGAAGCCGTGCTCCACCTGCAAGGGCACACACAGCGGCCATAACCACCCGCCGCAGGCCGCGCCCTGGAGCCTGATGGGGGATATATGGACCTCTACTCTGTTCTCGGTGCCAGGGGACGACACGGCAAAGGGGCACGCCCCTGCCCAGCCCAGGAGGGGAGCAGATGGCCCCAGGGTGACAAGACAGCTCAGCCTAGAGAAGAAGCCTGTCTGGCACTGCCATGCCCAGAGTGAGGACCAGTCATGGAACCCCAGGCTGGTCCAGTCACCTTCAAGGTTGGCAGGTGCACAGGATCAATGGGACCAGGGTATAGGAGGGGGGACAATTGGGACATGGGCACCAGGCAGGCCATGAGAGACAAGGAGGCAGATCTGAAGGCACAGGTTCCAGCTGGTGGGCAGGTTTGGGGACAGGCTGAGCAGCAGGGTTGGCAAAGCTATGCAAGACGTCCACACACCCTTCCCTGTACCTGCACCCACTGCTCTCCCGGCCTCAGTGTTTGACCTGTAGCCTCAGACTTGGCATGGAGGTGGGGGTGGAAGAGTGATCAGCGGGCGGCCCCCATCAAGGCTCCTGATGTCCCCTGCTTCCTCGGCAGAGACCCTGGGAGTCTGTCTCCTATTCTCTCCACTCGGGCGTCCACCCTTCTCAAGCTTGCGCTGTCCTTGAGCCCATGCCTGTATTTCACCAGAGCTACTTGAGGCTGGCCTTCTCGTGGTCTGTGCTCAACAAGATTCACCCACAGCCACACGACTCTTCTCAGAGCGAAGTCCAGAGAGGGTGTCCCCAAAGTTGGCCATAGAGAAACTACTCAGGGCACATAACTGGGTCCCAGCCTTGCTCTTGTTCCACTAAGGTGCACCCCCTGCACTGTGGCCTTTCTAACTGCACCTTGGACCCTGATGTCCAGGTAGGTGGCCATTCCTCCAGAGCACAAGGCCCATTAAAGCCAGCTGCCTTTCTCCTGTCAGTCTGGGGCTGAGACCAAGATTACCTCATCTTGCACCACCCTCTGGCTTCTCAGGGCCATGCGGTTCACACATGTGATCTCTACCCTTTAGCCAGCACCTGGGACAGAAAGGACAGCCCAGGCCTCTGGTGGGAGAGAGAAGGGTGGCCAGCAGGTCCCACACCACAGCCTCACTACCGCAGCCTTCAGACCTTGGTGTAGAAAGACAGTCACTGTCCCCAACTCTCATGTGGGCATGCTGCACCCCTGCTTACACCCTGTTTTGCTGTGTCCTTGGCCACTCAAGCAGATGGGACATAGTGCATCTCGGAGAGTTGTACACACAGCTCCAGGGAAAGAGGTCAGATTGTTCCCTCTCCCAGCAGGGTCCAATCCCTGCCCACTTGAGGCCACGGATCCTTCTCCTACCCACACACCTCTGCGGTCACCCAGATGCCTCGGCCCTGCCCATGCCATCTGTTCTTCCTTTCTGGGCTGGATCCATCTGCCTCCCATAATAAGCTGGCTGCAGAGCAGAGCTCCTCTGACCCTCCCCATACCAGGCCCAGGAGCACTGGCATATCCCTCAGAGGAGGGGCTGGCCAACGCTGTCCTCCCAATTCACCTGTTAACTGAGGACAGCATACGGTGCCACACCATGGGCAGTTAGATCATCCAGCTGTGACACAGGTGCTGCACATGAGAACATCTACAGCGTGCCAACTCAGCACAGACCTGAACTAGTGCCCCTTAGTGTCTTCCTGCTAGGTATGAATTTATTTTCAAAGAGATTAAAATAAATTAAAAGCAAAACCAAGAAAACCCTAAAGATATAGGGCCTTTTGATAACCTGGGAATTGATGCTGACTTAAAGCAAACATCCACATTTCCCCTTCACCATGGGGGTGGCAAGGGGGTCTCTGTCACAATATGAGCCCAAGGCCCAGCTAAACACACCAGCAAGGGAACCTCGTGCCCCACACTCAGGAGGCCCATCCCTGGGTGGGGAGGAGCTTGTCTGGACAGCACTTCGTTCCCCCCAGCTAACACCCAGACTTCCACTCCAGCCCCCTGACACCTCTGTCCCTGGGACAGGAGGGTGCGAGGAAGAGCACGGGTGGGCACCCAGCAGAGGCTACATGTGGACAGCCATGCGATGGGCCAAATTTGTGTATTTATGTCACGCTTGCTTTGTAAAGGGACTTTAGATGACCTGGCTTAAAAACTCCCAGTTCAAACCTTCACAAGGTACAGGAGAGAGAGCCACAGGAGGGAGGAGAATCAGGATGGTGAGCACATGTTAAAACAGGTCTGAGAAGCTGCGGAGTTGTCAATGTTCACAATTCAGTAAGAACTGTGTCGTCCCTGGACGGGGACCCTGTGGGGGACGTGAACAAACGCTTGTCTAATCACAGTGCTGCAAGGAAGGTGGGGGCAGGGCCACAGGAACAGGCTCAGAGGCCAAGGGGACACTTCACAGGTGTCCACTTCATGATTACGCTTTGAGATACAGGAACACATGCACACAGAGTAACAGGAGACATGGGTTAGAAAACAAAGTAAGATAAGAGATGTCTCAGGGTTTCCGTTTAGACTGCAGGGTGAAGACCAGGGTTTGCTTAAGGCTACACAAAGGAACCAGTCACTGGCTGCTGACCAAGACCCCTCCTGGCCCCACCGTAGCCAGCCGCCAACTTTGACCCTCCCCTCCACCAGCCACCATGCATCTGATCAAATTCTTCATCTCTCTGACATCAGAAATGATGGTGGCCCTCAGCAAGGGCCTCACTCAGTGTGTTCAGCAGTGGGTTTCTACAGAGGCTCTGAGGTCACTTCCAGAAAGAGCTGAGCGATGGCTCTCAAAGCACCTTGAAAGGGAGCAGGCTGGAGGGTGGAGCTGCCCGGAAATACCACCACAGGTTCACACACCCACTCTGGCAGGAGAGGGCCAGCCAGCCCACTGACCATCCTGAACGTGAGAGGTCAGGACTGCCTGGCGTCCACGACCTGAGCTGACCATCCATCTGGGCTCGGCACCTGAGGTCTCCTCTCAGTTACCTTCCGTCCACTGCCCCCATGCTGTTCTTGGGCTGTGACTCTCGCTGTCCCTGCTGGGTTCAGAGCTGACTACATGTTCTCTCCCCTATTGCAATAGTCTCCAAAAATCCTCCCAAGCATTTCAACAAAGGGCTGAACAATTTCTTCCTTAACATCGTGGGGACTGTGCCCTGGGCGTGGGCTCCAGGAAGGTCTTATCTGAGATCTCTCTGTGGAACTGTCCCAAAAGCAAGCAGCTGGGGCTTTCCCATGAAATCCACATCAGAATTTAATGAAGCTGGGGCTGGAGTGGCTGGGACGCGGTCCAAGGGGAAGCTTTCTGCTGACCTTCAGAGCCAGCTTGTTGAATGCAGCGGCCACTGGCCACGTGGGCCATTTGCATTGCTGGATTAAACTGCATTTCATATTCTGTTCCCTAGTCACGCTAGCCCCACTCACTGTATGTGGTGGCCGTCTGTGTGTGTGAGGTGGGGGGAGGCAGGGGTCACAGCACCAGCCACCAATGCTGACTGCTTCCTAAGCTCCCCGCTGGTGGTGATGTTCTAGGAAGAACACTGTCCTGTGGGGTGGTCACTCATGGGCCAGTAAGCATGGTGCAAACAAGAGGGTCCTTTTTGCCTGTGTCCTTGTGCGCTGGACAGTTTCTAAGGGCCAGGTGCTAAGGACACTGTGGGATCCCTTGGGAGCAAGGTTTGGGAACAAGTGAAGCCCCTGAGGATGAGGTACTCAACGAGTGGTCTACCTGGGCAGGGAGGGTGTCTCTGGGTGGAGGTGCATGCAGTAGCTGGGGAAACGGGAATGGGGTGCAGGGCTGAGATTGGCCCTTCCACTGGGGAGGGTGACAGGTGGCTCTGAGCAGGGGCATTAGGTGCTGGGGTGCTGCTTCCCTTTGCTCATTCATGGCACCTGCCTGCCATTTCCTCCTCTTCTTCTGAGGGACAGCTGAGGAGTTGAGACACCCTCCTGGGTAGTTACAGCCTTCAAGCTGACCTCTGGGCCCCAGAGGCTTCTCCCCAGTGTGGGGAGGAGCCCACAGAACCCAGTGCAGGGGTCAGTGCTCCCCACCACAGCCTCACCGCTCCGGGGCAGCTCCTAGGCACTGGGGGTGGGCGACACCCCCACACAGGGCCAAGCTCAGCCACTGGACCCTGCACGTGCCCCAAGACATGGCCTCGCTGCCCAGGCCCACCCTCACCATGTACGTGGCGATCTCATCAGGCGCGTCCCCGTCCAAGTCAAACTTGAAGGTCACCATCTTATGGTTGTGTGTTTCCAGCTGACACTCCACCATCTTGTCCCCCGTGTTGCACACCTGTAGGAAGCGGATGGTCAGCTCATGGAGGACGCCGAACCCGCGTGCCCGGGGTCCCAGCCACTCACATTCAGGATGGTAAGCCGGGGCCGGCTGGCCCTCTCCTGCCGGGAGCGAGCACGCGTGGACCTGCGGTGGTGTTTCCGGGCAGCCCTGCCCTCCAGCCTGCCCCCTCCAAAGGCGCCCTCACAGCTGTCACTCAGCTCTTTTCCAGAAGTGACATCAGAGCCTCCATAGCTGAGTAAGAACCAAGAACGTTAACAGCACCCACGGGTGACAAGCCAGTGCTCTGGTCAGCCCAGCCTGGGGGCCTCAAAACCTCCAGGCCTGAAGCTGTGACCTGCAGAAACAGCAGCTGCCTGTGAGGGGACCCTGCAGCATCCATCCCGGGTGGCCTCCATGCAGAAGGGTGGACTTCACAGTCACTGGCTGCAAGACCTCCAGCCCTCTCAACATCCTGACCCAAAAACTGGTTCCCATGCCTCAGTTTCCCCATCTGTGCAGGAAACAGCCGCCACTTGGAGCTGGTGTGAAGACCGTGAAGCATCAGCACCCTCAGAGGATGGGCCCGTGGTCACTTCATGAGCACCCTCAGGAAGAACAGGCTGCCTCCCCAAGAACACAGGAGGTGGCGGTCTGGGAGACCCAGGATCTAAGGGGCTGGACTCTGCTGTTCACAGGAAGTCCCCCGGGGCCTCTCCACCCACAGCCTCTTCCTGCTGGCCCACAGGCCAGGGCCATGTTCCCAGCAGACACAGCTGGGAGCCTCCGACAACCAGATTTCATCCAGGGCTGACAAAGACCCTGAGAGAAGGTCCCTAAAGCTCTGCCAGGTCAGGTTTAGAAAAGAGGGTGGTGGCACCGAGGCAAACTGGGTCAGGGCCCACGGAGCAGCAGCAGAGGCTGGGCTGAGCCAGCACTGGGCCCACACCCCCGACCTGTCCCCTCTGGGCCGGTACCTCTCACAGCTCTGCGGGAGGCCAGGCGGCTTGTCCTGGGAGGCCTGCTCCTGAAATAAAAACCAGAGGAAAGAGAACAGGTCACAGCTCCGACCCGCGGGTGGCACGCACTCCCCTCCACCACCCCCCCACCGTGCTGGCCTTTCCTCCCCACTCCTCAGCCCCTCTCGCCCGCCTGTGGCCAGGGGGCTGCCACACAGAGAGGTTTTCATCTGGCTGAAGGCTTGGAGCCTAGCAGATGCCAAAAAGTTCAGGCTTGTTTCCTTTCCCAAACCGTTAACCCACTTTGATCATTCCTGAGAGAGGACACACGGGTTTTGTAAAAGCTTTCTTCACACCCTCTCCAAGGGAACGCGTCCTCCAAACCCATTTACAAAACTCCTGCTCTCCATCTTGCTGTGGGCTTATGGGAGGTGAGAGAGGCCAGAACGGGAGCGTCTGGCTGTCCCAGACCACACTCCGCCTCCGGGGAGCGGTGGGCTGCGGGCAGGACTGACCTCCAGGGCTGAGGTTCCCAGTGCAGCCCTGGGGTGGCTGCAAGCAGGAGTTAAGGCACACACCTCCTGGGCAGGTTCCACTGTCAGCTGCACGGCTGGGCAAGGGCCGGCAATCACAGGCGCAGTGGGCAGTGGCGGGTTTGCTGGCGGCAGGAGTGTGGCACTCGGGGTGGGCACACTCTGAGCGGCTGCCACCACGGTGGGGGCCAGAGAGCTGGGGAACTTAGGCAGGAGCTCGGGGACGGCAGGTGGCAGCACGTCTGGCAGAGGCGGGGAGAGGACAACAGGCGGCAGGGGCACAGCAGGGACCGGAGCAGCCACATCCACAGTGTACGGAGGCGGATGGCCCAGCAGGACCTAGAGGACAGGGATGCACGCTAGATGCCAGGGCCCCACCTGACACAGCCAGGGTGGTGGTGGGGGCATGGAACATTCCTCCCCAACCCACATACTCCCCAGGGCAATGAGTCCTGGTTTCAGGGCACATTTGACATGTGGATTTAGCAGAAGCGAACAGAGAGGGGCATCCTCGCGCCCCTTTCTGTGGGAATCTGTGTGGTAATATCCAGATCCAGACGTCACTTGGGAACCCTGTCTAAGCCCAGGTGAAAAGTACCAGGTGACCCACAGTATCCAACCAGGCTCCTGGGGCCTTCCCTGGGGCCATCAGTGTCCTGCCTGTGTCAGACCTCCTGGTCAGTTCAGAGTTCACAGGGGTCACCTGGAACCCAAGTGCACCCTGAGAGCACTCACCGACGTCTGCCGTCTCCCACAGGGTGACCTGGAGCCCAGGCCAGCTCCCCCACTGTCCTCATCTCTCCCTGAAATCTCCTCCCAGGTGAAAGGTAAGACAAGTAGAGAACAAGCCAGCGTGGAGTTCAAAGTGCCAGGATGATCCGTCCTCTGCCTCACTTGGGGGTGGAGAAGGTTGAAAGTTCTCCACGTCTCAGGAACGGCACCAGCCCTGTTCACTTGGACAGGCTGGCCTGAGACCTTCTGTTAGCAACCCACGCGGGGTCAGATAGACCACGCCACAGCCCAGCAGGTGGACGGTTCTCTCCTGGTCAGAATCCCCAGCTGCTGTCACCAGGGTGTTCAGCCCAGCTCATCAATGACCATCTCCACCACGGAGACAACAGGAATGGCCATCAGGCCTGCAGCAACTTATGGAGAGCCCAGAAGGGCCAGGGCCGGGGCCAAGCAGCAATGTCCCGAGCACACGGAGCTCAGGTCTCTGCCGTCCTACTCCTTGGCCTCTGCTTTCCTCAAAAACACACCTGACCCAGGAATCAGCTGGCCAGGCTGCCATGGACACCTGCTCAGACTGACGCTCACTCAGTAGGAGCCCAGGGCTGATGTGCTTCCTCCCGCTGGGTTGTTTAGACAAACACCATCCTGCCAGCCACTAACACTGTCCTTCCTTCTCTGGGCACAATCCTTTTGGAAGTAAGAGAGCAAGAAGCAGTGCCCGGGGGTTCCCTGTATACTAGGAATGTGGGGTCCTACTCCAGACTGGATCAGGACAAAGTGAGCGGGCTGGCACCTGGCACCAGGAACACTCGGCCCTGGCCTCCTCCTCTGCTGTCTGGACAGATCCTCACAATAAGTCAGGAGGGGGCATTGGCCCCTGAGGCTCAAAAGGCAGGGACATGCCCTGGCCACAGAGCTGTCAGGGCTCAGGGCTAGGATGGGGCTGCGCTGGAAGACACCTAGGTGGAGATGCCCAGGTAAGAGGTGCCCGTGTGTGTGAGGGTCCCACACAGGAGGATTCCAGGTGAGGGGTTCCCAGGTTGGGGCTACGGGGTGGGGTACCCAGGTGGATGCACCCATATCAGCTCTTCCCCTCACTTGGATTTGAACAGAATAACCCAGAAGCTCCACATGCAAGTGTGCTGTGCAGATCTGTGAAGCCACCCAGGTCACAGCAGGGCTTGTGTCCCTGTGTACCACAGGGTCTCTCTGCGGATAGCCTGGTTGCAAGGGGTCCCCACCTGACACTGGGTCCTATCAGCTTCACTCTCAGGTGGTAGCCTGTCAGACCCCAGACCCCTCACCTCTTGGCCCAGCTTCCTCTCTGCTAGCAGAAGCACATCTGCCCTGTGTTGCTCTGACATGGTGCTTTGGGAGGGGCTGACCCCAGATGCATGTGAGCCCTGGTGCCCATAGAGGAACCGGTGAGGGCCAACAGGACCAGCATGGGAGGGCAAGGGCGTCCTCGGCCACATGAGCAGCAGCTGTCCACCTCCTGGTCAGGTAGGACAAAGGAACCCACATGCTTCCCTGATGCTGGTGGCTCCCAAGGTGACAACTGATGCCCCATGATGTCTTTAGCCTCCTTCTCCAACACATCTCAGAGATGCCTCCTCCCCCAGCCCTAACCTGCCCCTCAGTCCAAATGCCAAGAGAAAGCCATGGCCTAGTGAAGTGAGTGTCCCGAGGGCCTCCAGGCACTGGGAGGCAGACCGAGGCCCCATGGGCGTATTACCTGGCTCCCTGAGGCAGGCACTGCGGCAGCCTGCTCGGGCAGGTGGACAACACCAGGCTGGAGGGGCTGAGGGGGTGCTGTTGGTGCCTGCTGCGGAGGGGTTGGGGTCGCCCTTAAGCTCTGCACTGTGTGGTGGGGGGAAGGCGGGATGTCTCCGGGGGCCATCTGCGGGAAGGTGGCCGGGTACACGGGCGGGGTGGGGAGCTGGGCCGGGAGCTGGGCCACAGCAGGGTGGATAGACAGGGCGGCCACCCCCTGTGGGGCCACAGCCAGTAGAGGGATGGCGGCTGGCGTGTTTGGCACGATCGTCTGGCATGGCACGGCCAGGGGCGCCGCAGTGGGATGGGGTAGCTTGACTGCCTGCAGGGGCAGGGCCGGGGTCGTGGGGAGGGGCGTGGTGAGGCTTGGCAAGATCACGGCGGGAGAGAAATACTGAGGGGCCGGCACCGGAGCCACGTTAGCAGTGGGCAGGTCAGTGAGGGCCTGAGGGAGGCTGTCGATTCCTGCCAGGGGCGTGATGGGGGGGACCACAGGCATCGGAGGCATCTGGAAGAGACAGGACAACACGTTAGTCAGGGCTGCCAGGGGCCCCGCACCGTTGGCTGGGACGGTGGCAGGCCCCGCCTCCCAGGCGCAATCCTGCAGCTGCTTGGAAGGGCTCCCCAAAACACACCCAGCGGCAAGGGAAACCCAAGCACGGGAAACGCCAAAGAGAAATGAAATCTGTCAGCCTCAGCACAGGCACGGGGGCCTCCCTGTGTGCACACTGTCCACGGGCCCCACAGGGGACTCTGAGGGAATCAGGGATGGCTCAGAAACGAGGGGCCCAAGAGTGACCCTGATCTATGGACACGGACCCTGAATCTTTCACTCAGAAGGACAGAGACTATCAGAGCCACAGACGGGCTCCACAAGTCGGGAATCACAGGCTGATGCCTCAACTGTGAAAATTCCAATGGAAACTTAACTTTCTGGAGGGTTCTCAGTGGAATCATCCTCCAGACCCCTATGGCGGGCGGAGGCCACACCCCCACACCAGCAGTAACTCCGGAACATCCTCTAAGTCTTCTGGCACCTCCCAGAGAGGGCTGGTATCTGATCTCGGGAATTCAGCCCTCAGTCCCTGACAGCTCTCTCCACAGTGGTGCCTTCTTGCATCACACAACGAGCACCTTCTTGCAATTCATTTGAAGGCAGCAAATAGGAATAAATCAATTTCTATTTTGAAAAGCAACTTAACACCACAAACCACCAAGGAGCAAGAAGGTGATTTAACTAGAACCCTAAGCCAGCTCTAACATGGTATCACAAAGATACCCGAGACAAAAGAATCTTCAGGGGGAGGGCAAATTGTAGGAATACCCCTTTCCCAGCAGGAACCGCCATCTTCAGAATAAAGGCCACTTCCTGTCCTACCACCAAGGTCATAGCCCATCACCACCAAGGGTCTCTAGAATGACTGGGATCACGGAGTCCAGTAGCCTGAGCAATGGTGCCCAACCCCAATTACACTCTGTACTGGCCATGCTATCATGAGCCCCTCGTTACAGACAATGTCCCTACAGAAAGACACCAGAGGTCACCTCTGCTCCTCAGGTTGAACTTTAGTAACCAGCCCTCCTTGCAGGAAGTGGTGCCATCCAGCTGGTCACTAGACCTCCAAGGAGCCACCTTTAGTCCAGCCCTGGGTAACACCTCAGGATGGACAGTCACCTGCAGCAAGCCCATCTGCTTTCCGTATCCACTTGGTAGCCATATTGTGACTCCTTTCCTTGATTTTGGACTAAACTCTTCCAGAACCTGGATGCACCTAAGACTGGGTATTTGTTGGGTGGTGCAGTGAGGGCCACCTCCCCCTCCTGGAGAGACCCCTTATCTGGCCAATCACAGCCCAGAGGCATCTCAGTCTGGAAGGAAGGCCTAATAGGATGGGGAGAAAGTGAGGCCAGAGGGCACAGAGGACAACCTGCCCTCGGAGGCTGCCTCCACATTCCCAGGTCTGCCACGCTAGTCACCAGAATGGTGCTGATGCATGTGGAGTTCGTATCCAACCCTTCTGATCCCGCCTCCCCATCCTGGCGTGCAGACAGGGATCGCATGCAGACGGGCCCTGCAGGTGCCCTGGAACCCCACCCAGGATGGACAGGCCCTAAGACACTGCAGATAACCAGCCCAGAAGTACCTGTGGAGGGACTTGAGCGAGTGGCTGCAGGGGTGGCTGAGGCATCTGGAGGGGCTTCAGCTGAGCAGGGGCCACCACCTGGGAGGTCGGAGCCAGGTACGGAGGCAGGTGGGGGGGCACGGGCTGCATGGTGCCCATAGGCTGTGGGGCCAGGACCTGTGGCAGGGCCGGCGGCTGGGCCATTGGAGGAGGCTGGAGGGAGAGAGGCAGGGCCTTCGACCACCAGCCTGCTGAGGCAGGGCCTACCCTGCATACTCAGACACACAGCAGCCCACGCATACCCTCACGCTCACTTACACACTACTCCACGCCCATACTCCCACTCATACAGACACACAGTCACGTCTACACATGCCACACTCGCACACACACTCCTAGACACACACACACACACACACACACACACACACCACCTATTACAAGGGACGCTTCCAGGGCTGTGAGGGGGAGTCCCACTCACCTGCTGAGCGGTGGGTGCAGGCTGGCCTGGGCCTGTGGGCACAGGGGCACTGGGTGGCGGCAGCACAGGGGCGAAGCTCATTGCAGGCTCTGGGAAACGCTGCTGGAGGAGTGGAGGGTGGGCAGGGGCTGGGACAGAGCCCACGGAGAGGCCCGGCTGTGGAGAGCACCAGGGTCACACTCGGTGGCTGCCCCTCAGTCCTCTCATCCTGGTGCCCAGCCCCATTAAGGACCCTGCTTCCAGGAAGGTGACTCAGCAGAAACCAGGTGTGCCAGTCCTGCAGGGTCACTCACGATACTGAAAAGCCGTGGAGAGCCACAGCTCTCAGCCAGGGAATGTTCTGGAACATTAACCCCATGGAGTATTACACAACCATGAGAAAAGATCAGCACAGAAGCTTTTCAGAAGCAAAGAGAAGGGCCCCTTAGGACATGGGGTGGGGAAGCGTCTCATCTGTTTGGCTCAGCACACAGAAAATGAATTCATGTAGAAAATTCAGATAGAACATGGAGCAATGAAAACAAATAGTGCTGGCTCGCTGTGGAAGGCAACAGGCCATCCAGGTGCCCGCAGCACACTTGGCACAGTGGGGACTTCAGCAAAGCAGGGTCCTCTAGACTGGGCTACAGGAGCAGAGGAACACACAGGCCGCACACAGGATGTCAGCCCAACTGGCTAGATGGGTCAGCAAAAGGATCAGAAACCTGAGCCCCTGGGTGTCATTAAGCAGTTGCTGCTAATGTGTTAATTTTTTTTTTCCTTTTTGGTGTCATGATGTTGTTATAGTTTGTTCTCTAAGAGTCCTTATTGTGCAGAGAGAGAGAGAGATTGGAATATTTATAAGGAAAGAGTCTCACTGCCTGGACTTCCTCCACCACAGGGGAAGGGGAAGCGGGTGGGGCTACAGGAAGTCTGAATGCGAGACCAGCAAGGCTCCTCTCTGCAGAATGTCGCCTGCGACTCTCTGGATGGCAGGAGGACGGGGATTTCCAGAGCTGCCCTCCCTGGCTTCATCTTTCACAGCCAGGGCTTTATGCAGGGCAGTGGGGGGGTGCGGTGGAAAGAGCAGCTTGACTTGGGATCAAGCCTCGAATCTGAATTCAGCTAGATGAATTCACAGAGCAGATGAGCATGCCCAATTGGGCCAGACTGTCCTGCAGCCCTGGCCACGGTATACCGCCTGGGAGCTCTGGCAGGCTTGCTGGCCATGGAGGGGTGAGCAGCCTTTCACTCCTGGTGGCCCTCCCTTCCTCCTCCTCCTCCTCTCTCTTTGCTCTTTACTGGGTCCCAGGGCACATCACCACAGCAACCATCCCCAGGAAGGCCCAGCAGGGAGGGGCCAGCCCTTGGCACACAGGAGGAACCCCTCCAGGCCCTACTCTTTCTGCTAGGTATCTCTGTGTCAATAGGAAGGGAGGCAGGAGAACAAGCTCTGGCCTCCCCACTCGGGCCTCCCAGCTTACACACTGAAGCAGTGATCAGCTGCCATACCAAGGACACACAGGACAGACTTAGCCCAGCGGGGACTTAGGCAGCCAGTGTATCCTATGGCTATGGGAAGCCCTAGCAGGGGCAGGAAGGAATGAGAGCCAGATGGAACACTCTGGCTCAGCCCCAGCTTCAGCAACACTCACAAGAATAACCCTCGGGAGCTGCAAAGAGTCTTCTCTTCAATGAGCTCTTTCTGCCCTTTAAAATCATACTTCATTTTGTGAATTGAACAAAATTGCAAATGCAAATGGACAGTGAGCCCTGGGACTCCCGGCAGCCAAGGCAGGCACGCCCAACAGCTTCAGCTGCTGTTCCAAAGGGACGATCTGGGCCCTTCTGACAGCCCAGCCCCGCGTGGACAGAAAGGGGAGAGAGAGGCCGCAGCCAACAGGGAGAACCCATGTGCAGGGGACAGAGCCTGCAGTGCCCATGCTCTGCCAGTGCCAAGAGGACGGCGTGGTGGCAGACTAGTATGAGGGAGTGACAGACCAGCCAGGCGGCTCTCAGGGGAGGGGCAAAGACACAGCCCACGCACAGGGCAGGGGCCTAGGCTCCCTCTGAGGACTTGGCTCCGCTGCCCAGGTCACAGGCAAATTCTCCTCGGTTGAGCACTTGGGCTGTGAAGCAAGCGATTGTTTAATTTCCTTCAAGTGTTTTAAAAAAAAATCAGAATCAAAAATAAATGCCCCGTGTGACCCCCTGGTGTTCAGCTTCCCAGATCTTACACATCAGAGCCGTCCTGCCTGCCTGAGGCCCTACCTTCTCAAACACTCTGGCTACAGTGTTCCCCACACTTCGACCCTGTTTTCATAGCTGATTTTCAGTGGCTGCCGTGGGCGAGACATGCCAGGAACTACTGGACATCCCCTTGGGAGGCTGGACAGCGAGGCCGAGTCTAGGGCTTCATTATTACAAACGAGGCTTTGCTGTCACCTCTGGGGCATAGTCTGAGAAGATGGCCCAGGCCCGGGGTGGGTCCGCCTCATCACCACCAGCACCTGCCCCAAGGTGCGGCCTGTCAGCTCGGTCACAGCTCCCTCAGCCCTGGTGCCTGCTGGGGTCTGTTTCCAGACATTATGTCCCTCTTGCCTGGTAATGTGGGTGTGTCAAAGGCTATATGGCCATGGTTCCATTGCTCCCAGAAAAGATAGGGCTTTTTATGGCTGGCTTCTGGGGGTCTCCCCAGGGAAAACATGGCTGAGAACTGACCACAGGCCACATTAACCCTGACCAGAGTCCCTGCAGCCCAGATGGCCCTCATGACTGGATCCCCCAGGGCCCTCAGACAAGGAGGCCAAGGGGACAGGGCAGGGGTGGCTCTCAACTCACCGTGGCAGTGGGCTGCTGGAAGGCCCCCAGCGAGGGCAGGCTGTGCGGCAGGCCAGGTCCCTCGCTCACAGGGGGACTGCACACGCATGGGGCCAGGGGTGGAGCAGCGTCCACAAGGGAGCCCAGTACCATGCTCTGCTGACTGCTCTGGGAGTCTGAGTACACCGTGGAGCCCTGGCCGCTGTCAAAGGTGCTGTCCGCTGGGAAAGACAAAGGTAGGATTTAGAAGGACCCTCTGAATGCCACCTCCACAGCACTACACCCATGCACAAGGTGGCTCATCTGTATATTCTCCTCTGCAAGACAAAGGCTGTGGTTTGTTCAAAGGGTGGTTGTTCCAGGTTACATACATAATACTTGCATATTGTTTAAATGATCAACTGCTACAGAGCCATAGGGGCTGAACCTGTGCCTGACCCTGACATGGCCTGCTATCAACACAGCACGGATGCCAGGCTGGGCGTGTCTCACCGACACTCTTGTGAAGCAGACACCATCACCCCCACCCTGTCCCACAGATGCAGACCCTGTCACGCTTTACTAGCTCATCCCTGCCCTCAACAGCACCAGGTGGCTTAGAAGGTTGAGCTAATGTCCTTGTAAAAAAAAAAAAGCTAATGTTTTAATTGTGGAGGAAAACGATTCTCACTGTGTTTATAAGGGGCTGGGGTTTTCCAGACTGATCACCTTCACACACAGGCCCCAGCGCTGCACAGGGAACACGGGGGTCTCAGACCATATCTAATTTAGTTGGAAAACAGGAGTTGAAAACCCTCCACGTCTCAGAGAGAGGCCTGGAGAGGGGGCTTTACCCGCCATGCAGGAGACAAGGAGGCAGGGGCAGCACGGGGAGTCCAGTGCTCCAGCTGGGCGACCCAGAGGCTGACCTCATGGGGGTCAGGTTGGCCTGGCCTCGTCAGCCCTGGATGCCCGAGATGGCATAGGCAGGTCCACCAGCACATCTCGCCAAGACGTGCCTGGGAAGACAGCCTGCTGCAGGGTCACCCGGGTCAGGAGTGGAGATCAAAAACTCGTCTGAAGGGGGCTGGGGCTGTGGCTCAGTGGTTGAGCACTCGCCTCACGTGCGTGAGGCACTGGGTTCGATCCTCAGCACCACATAAAAAAATAAATAAGAAAAAAATAAACTGTTTAAAAAAAAACCGGTCTGAAAATGGCACTTTTGATTTACTGCTTCCAGATTCCGCAGGTATGCCACCTAGAGATACAGCTACTTTCACCAGAAGCCACATTTTGGAGTGACCACTGACATTATAAAGGGGAAGTCAGGTTGGCTTTGCAATTTTTCCCAGGGACTGCTTAGAATCTATTTAACCTTAAGAAGACCTGAGGAACACTGAGGTTTAATTAGGCAAAACCAATTAGACAAGCAGCTCTGATTTTTAATGAGCCAACTGGTCATTAAAGTGGTCATTGCCACTTAGGAAGGGAGGGAGGAGGAGGAGGAGGGAGGTGGAGGGAGGAGGCCGTTACAGCCTGATACGTTGCAACCGAAGCAACTTTAACCATGTGTGTAACGTTTTAGATTCTGAAAGTGACTGTGTTTATTACTTGTATAATCAAAAAATTAATTTTAGAAATCATTTTGGGGCCCACTGACAGATGGCGCTGCTATGGTCCTCGGCTTCCAAGGCGGCTCGTGATGGCAGAATCCCTCCCACTGAGTTTGATCAGGACTACTGGTGGGTAGCTAAGGGAAGACACGCGAGAGAATCGTGAAAGGTGACATGGTGTTGTACATTCCAGCACAGAAATGAGCATCTGTTTACCAATCCTGCTACCTGCAGGTTCTGCTCAGATGATATTCAGGTTGTCTGGTGTCCCTGTCAGGTCCCCTTGAAACAAATGGCCTGGGCAGGTCACTGGATGCTATGATTCTACTCCAGGCCAATTCACATAGTGGACAAAGCCACATCCCCTTGTCCTCAGCTCGCTGTGGAAGTTTTGGACATTGATAGCAAACACAGGACACCTGTCTGCCCATCATGCAGAACACATTTGGCCAATGTGGAACATTCTGTGGCCCAAAGGAAGAACGAAAACAGGACAGCCAGCACAAAATGCAGAAGAGTATGTGACGGTGCCATCCACTGGAGGACAGAGGGAGACCCAGAGGTGTGCGTGTGTTCACATATGTCCACATAAACACGTGCATATCTACATGTGTAGTGGTCCTGTATGTGCACATGTATATGTAAGAGGGCACATAAGGGATGTACACATGTTTGCATCTATGTACCTGTGTGTCTCTATATGGGGTGGGTAGGCATCCGTGTCTGCGTGTGTGTGCACGTGTCAATGTGCATATGGGGGCCATGCATGTGTCTGTACACTCAGGCATTTTGTGCACATACGTGCATATGCATGTGAGTATGACACTATGCACATATGTGTGTATCTGCATGGATATTTGTGTGTCCTCATGTGTGGTGGGTTACACGTGTAGATTATCTCTGGAAGGACAGTCAGAAGACTTGGAGCATCCCTTGCCTGGGGAGGATGATTAGGTGACTTAGTATACATCTTCTTAGAATTTCTAAATTCTGAATAGACAATTCTCAGAAGAGGATATACAATCAATCAACTAATATATGAAAAAATGTTCATCATCTCTAGCAATTAGAGAAATGCAAATCAAAACTATTGTAAGATATCATCTCACTTCAGTCAGAATGGCAGCTATTATGCAGACAAACAACAATAAGTGTTGGCGAGAATGTGCGGAAAAAGGCACACTCATACATTACTGGTGGGATGGCAAACTGGTGCAGCCGATACGGAAAGCATTATGGAGATTCCTTGGAAATCTGGGAATGGAGCCACCATTTGACCCAGCTATTCCTCTCCTAGGACTATACCCAAAGAACTTAAAAACAGCATACTACAGGGACACAGCCACATCAATGTTTATAGCAGCACAATTCATAATAGCTAAGCTGTGGAGCCAACCTAGATGCCTTTCAGTGGATGAATGGATAAAAAAAAAAATGTGGCATATATACACAATGGAATATTACTCAGCAATAAAAGAGAATAAAATCATGGCATTTGCAGGTAAATGGATGACATTGGAGAAGATGATGCTAAGATAATGCTAAGTTAGCCAATCCCCCCAAAAAAACAAATGCGAATGTTTTCTCTGATATAAGGAGGCTGACTCAGAGTGGGATAGGGAGGGGGAACATGGGAGGAATAGATAAATTCCAGATAGGGCAGAGGGGTGGGAGGGAAAAGGAGGGGGCAGGGGATTAGCAATGATGGTGGAATGTGATAGACATCATCGTCCAAAGTACATGTATAAAGACACAAATTGGTGTCAACATAATTTATATACAATCAGAGAAAAGAGATGAAAAATAGTGCTATATACATGTAATAAGAATTGAAATGCATTCCGCTGTCATTTATTTATATATTTATTTTAAATATTTATTTTTTAGTTGTAGCTGGACACAATGCCTTTATTTTATTTATTTTTATGTGGTGCTGAGGATTGAACCCAGGGCCTCACACATGCCAGGCGAGGGCTCTACTGCTGAGCCATAACCCCAGCCCTGTTATTTAATTTTTTTTAATCAATCAATAAAAAGAATTTCTGAATTCTATACTCCGAGACCATATCACCTATTTTAAAGAAATCACAGTAACTGAGTACAAGCACCTTGAGAGGTGCTCAGGGCATTAAACTGACCTGCACCTGATGTGCACTGACCAGCCCCTCAACATCTCTGATGGATTTTCTCATAGCAGATGGGAACATATTTCTAGGTCCCAATCTGAGGCTTTTCAAAGTGTGACAAATGGGGATCTTTTATTTCCCATCCTAGAAATTTTTTTAACCCAACTACGATTGTAAAGTGTGTGACACTTGTGGTGGTGTATCAGATCGGGGGACCTCCCCTCCCCCCAGAAAATGGTGCTTTTTAAATTAATTTTTTTAGATTTATCAGAAAATGGAGCAATGATGTAGCTACTTTATTCTCCAAAGCAAACCTGAGCAGGTTAAAGTCAGCAGTAGGAAAACTCCCTCAAAGTGAGTTTAAACAGCCCACTTAGAAGAATTTTTAGCTATTTTCATGATAAAGAATGTGCATGTTAAACAAATTACACAGACTTTCTGTCTTTCCACATGAGCAACCTGAAATCTTGGCCTGGGCAGGTCATTGGACTCTGTAATTCTATTCCAGGCCAATTCACATAGTGGACAAAGCCACATCCCCGCCGCCTTAGCTCACTGCTGAGTTTTTAGACATTGACGGTGAACACAGGACACTTGTCTGCCTGTCATGCAGAATACACTAGATCCTCTCAAAATGGTCTTTGATGAAGCCTGTTTCAAAGGGACTCCAAATTCATTGGTAATGCTCGCTTGAAAACACACAAAAGAGCTACCGTTTTATCCCTGGAACAGAGACATCGGATAATCCTGGTATCAAAGGCCCCAAGCCAAGACAGCTGTGCTCTCCAGGTGAGGTACAGACGTCCTCTCCAAGAAGCAGGTGACTGTGCACAACCCCCCATGAGGCCCAGACTGTTTTCAGGCAGTCCACAAGTGCGCAGTGGGGAGCTGGGATTGAACTGGCTCCATCAGGGTCTACTGGCTTGGGGCAGATTTGACCTCATCTGCCCTGAGGAGCAAGTCTCCAGGGAGCCTTAAAGCCTTTCAGGTCACAGGTCACTGGGAAACGCAGGAAACGCCACAAACCCTTCCCCTGGAACAGTGCAAACCTGCATCTGCCCTCCGCAGCCCACAGGGGAGGCAGTGGGAATAGGCTCACAGAGGTCAAGGAATCAGGCCTGCATGTCCCAGAGTCTATGGATCATCTGCCACCACCCAGGGACGTACCCCTTCCAAATACCATGATGTGCCCAGGAGCCAGGAAGGCTGGCAGGAAGTGAGCCTGGCATGGACACGGTTCCAGCCAAGCTCCTGGGACCACCTGCAGCTGGAAGCAATAATCCAGCCGCACCAGGACAGTATGGAGCTCACCAGACCACACTCTAGCCTGCCACTATGCCGACCTGGATTTCCTTACAAAGCCTGCTAATAAAGGGTGAGGACTCCCCGCCCAACAGCTGGTCTCACAGCTGGCTGCAGTGACCCTATTCCATGTACTCACAGGCCAGAGAGGTGGCGCTGGCCGGCAGTGTAGGAGGCAGGAGGTGCTGGTCAGCCTCAGGCTCCTCGGGCTCTTGCTGCCCAGGCTGCCCGGCCTGCGCATGGTAGGTCACTTGGACCTGCAGGGGGGCTGGCGGACCCCTGGTCTTATCAGGGCTGCCTGAGTCCTTAGGCTCCTGGGACTGCAGCGCAGGCCAGATCCTCTCCCGACGCCACTGGATCAGTGCCACGCGATCGCGGATGGACTTGGCCACAATCTTCACGTCACTCTCATGGAAGAATCCAGAATCGATCTGCAGAGGCAGTCACGTTGTCAGTGCCTTGGGAACCAGCTGACCCCCACGTGTGCCCTGCCACCTGCACTGTGGGCTCCTGCTTATGGGGTGCTCTTCCGAGGGTCCCCTCACCTCCCACCTGAGTGGTTCCTCTTAGGATGCTTTCATCTTCCCGTGAATAATCACCCAGCTTTGAAACGAATCTGCAGGGCCCTGCTTTCTGAACCACAGCTAGTGCAGAGCAGGTGCACTGACCTGCCTTCTAACTGGAAGGCAGAGGCCTATTCTGTTACTTGAGAGCGGAATAGTGTGCACTGATGCTTGGCAAAATCCTAAGATACATTTATCACACAGAGTGTTTGAGCACATTTGTCAAAGAGCCCCCAGATCTCCAGGAAGCATCGTGAGCTTGCAGAGAATATTCATAGCAAAGCCACTTTCCAAAAATAGAGACTCCTTTTGAAGGGGCTGCTGGCTGGACTGCGGGTGGTGACTGCAACACACGACACATATCAGCATGAACACTCCAAGTCCATAGGGGCCCCCTCTCCCCTCCTGAGACCTCAGCACTGAAGAGACCGGTGGGGCTAGGCAAGCTGCGCCTCCCAGAGAGGGAGCAGTGTGCACAGAGGTCTCCTGGCACAGGGACCAGGGCAGTGTGGACGGAAGCACATATGTGGTGGGCAGCATGGCTGAAGGTTATGACCATGCAGCGCTGACCCACAAGAACCTACATAAGGAACAAGGGCAGCCAGGTTCCTCACCATGGAAAGGCAAGAATCCGGAACAGGACCTGGTGGTGCTGGTGGGAACTGGAGCTATTGGTGACAACTATACAACAGACATAAAGACACAAGCATGCACAAAGGATGAGAGAGAGTGTGTGTGTGTGTGTGGGTGTGTGTATGTCCTTGTGAGCTCTGTCCACCGTGAGGGCCTGGGAGCAACACCCATAGCCCAATAGGAAACCAGAGCCATTGCAAGGACCGGTGACTCAGGGCGGGGCAGAAAAATAATGAGAATGAGCCACTGTGGGTACGTGCTCAGGGGATGACAGGGACGTGCAAAGTGACACAGGCGCCTGTGCCAGGGTCACTCACTGGCAAATCTGGGACAAATGAACAGCGATACAATGATGGTTTGAAAGACATTTCCTCAAATTTTGACACACATTTTATCTATGGGGCTGGTACAAATCATCTGTGGGGTGTGAGGGACAGAGTGTCCTTGCCAGCACTGGGGGCACAGGGGTGTGTCCCTGTCCTCCCTCCCTCCCTCCCCCCCTTTCCCTTGGACATCGCTGCTCCAGCTGAAGCCATAGCAAGAGCTGCTCCGTGCCGAGGCCCCCACGGCAGGCAACCGGGGTCTGTGAAAGCCCATCAGGTCTGAGCCACCGCCCTGGCTGACGCCTGAGCCACCCCAGCCCTGATCTCAAGACCACACAGAGCATTTCAAGCACGGCCTTGGGGCAGTCTGCTGCGAAGAGAGCTCAGACGTGGGAGATGAGCTAGGGGGTCCAGCCGAACCCTGGGCTGCGTCTCTGAGAGACAAACGAGGGGACAGTCTGCTGGACAATAACATTTACATAGTTTCAAAGAACCTCCCCACAGGTCACACACCAGGGACACAAGATGAGAGAGACCCCATGTGGAGAAGTCACAGGCGGCATCCTGGGAAATGTGACCGTCAGAACCGTGTGCCCTGGGCAGGCTGTGGCAAGGAGACCTGTTCTGGGAGATGGCTACAGACGCACGATGGCCTGACTCGGCAGGGCCAATCCCTGAGGGCTGCCTGGGCCTTCCTGAGGATCGGACCACAGAAGTCGAGGGACAGAAAGGGCTGAGGGGACATGTGACACTGGTTTGAAGCTCTTGTGTGTGGCGGTGTTGCTGGGACACTGGGGACCTGAGCAACCCAATGATGGGACAGTGGTGACATGTTGATGACCCTTTTGACGGGGACCACTGTGTGTAGCTGTGCAGGAAAATGTTCTGTTTTGTGGGAAATTGGAATAAAAGTACTTGGGGCAACGGGCAGGGGGTTGGCAACCTGTTCTCAAACGCTACATGGAAAAAAGTTCTTTGGAGTGCTCGTGCAACTTTTCCTTGAGTTTGTGATAATTTCAAAACAATTTATTTCCAAAGAGAATTCTGCTAGAGAGAAGGAAGCTGCCTCACGAACACACCCAGGAGAGACCTCGGTGACTCGGGAGAGGCAGGAGCAAGCCAGACACATGGCCAGGGGAGGGTCAGTGGACAGGAAGCCAGAGGTGGGCACAGTGTCCTCAATCTACCTGGGAAGCTCCCTGGGCACAGGACATTCCTTACTCCCAGAGAAGGGCACCAGCTGGGGGTCGGTTTCTGGCCTTAGAGTCAGGAGAGGACTTTTCCAAGGACCCCAGACTCTCACCACAGGGACCTTCATGGGGAGGCTGAGGACGGACAGGCCTGACTAAGGTCAGATGTGGGCTGCAGTAGGCAACCCCATCAGCAGGTGGCGTCTCTGTCATCGATCCTTCAGGGCAGTGTTCAGCAGGACCCAGAGCTCATAGGCGAGGCTGTTCCTCAGGCCTCAGGTAACCTCAGGTCACAGAGCCAGTGGGACCCATGGGACCAGAGGCTGACAAAGAAACCACTGCCTGCCCCAGGTTATTTCTGTTATCTGTGACACCACAGCTACAGCCTGCCTTTCCCCACCTGTCTTTGGGGTCTCCCAGCCTTCCTCACAAAAGCATTTCTATTTCCTCCCAAACAGGAAAGAATGCATCCAGGTTCAGTACTGGGCTGGCGTGTCCCCGTTACTGGGGTTCTGAAGGGCTGGGCCAGGTACCCTTCCTCTCTGCTTCCTCCCTGGGGGCCTCACAGAATGCACCCCTCCCTCAGCCCCGTCCTGTGCCAGGCTGATCTGCATCCCCGCCCCATGTCCCCATCTTATCCTCGCTCCTCTGGAGGTCATTCCAGGAGACTGCATCTGGATTCTGCACCTTGGTTTGTTAAGCACAGTCTCAGAGCCCAGTGTGTCCCCAAATCATGATACAATGCCACATGGCAAGTTCCCCTCCAGCTTCAGCCCAGGCAGGGGTTGGTGGCAGGAACCCAGGAAGGGGTGGGGGCTGGACCCCCAGTGATGATTCTGGATTCTCTGGTGGGTGTAAAGGAGGGTGAGGCTGGGACTGGAAGCCGGACAGGCCTCCTGGGGTCCAGCACCCACCCTGAGGCCTAGTGTGGGGCTGTTGTGGGAACGGTGGCTTCCAGCTGGTCACAGGCTGGGCCTGTTCTGTTTCCTTGGCAGGGTGGGGTGTGTGTGGCTTTGTTATTGCTCAGTAACTGGACGCAGTCATGCCCTTCTGCGTGGATGCGCTATTTCACGGATGGCACGTCTCATGATGAAAATATGTAGTAAGAGACAGGAGGTGGGGGAGGGAGGGAGTGGGGAAGAGGAGCGGGTGGGCCTCATTGGAGCCGACACAGGGGCAGAGCCTCTGGGTCCAGCCAAGTGCCAGGAACAGGCTGAGGTGACAGTTACGTGCACAATGTCCCTGTCCTGCAGGATGCCATGTCACTCTCTGATGACAAACAGAGACGAGGGGAGTTTTGAGAAGTACATGATCTAGGAACAGCTAAGCAGAGCCTGGGGAGGAACGCCAGGGCACTTCTGGGTTTGGGACATGGCTGTCTTACAAGACAATCAAAGCCAAACTGGGAGGCTAAGGTCCTGCTGAAGCCCAGACATTCAAAATCCACTTGTGTGGGATCTTGGGAACCTTCCAGGATGCACCAACCACACTGGAATCACTATACTGAACCCCGACACCCCTGTCACACCTTGGCCATCCTGTGTACCTGACCTCCCAGCTCTGATCCCAAATCCCTCCCACCTTGGCCAGCACCAGCCGGGCACAGGCTCACTTGCAGAAGGAATGAGAGAACTTTGTGAGCCTGCTCTTCCTGAGTCTCCTGGGCCCCAGTAAAGCTAGGACACTCACAGTCCTTATTCTTGCCTCTGGTAGTCCTGATAGAGGGTCCCTGCAAGGCCAGAACCAGTGTAGCACCTCGAGAACCTGTCAGACTCCCTCCTGCCCTTCCAAAAGGCTGCTTTCCCACTTCTGTCACCACCAGCCCAGCACCAACAGCCAGCACAGTGTCCCTAGAAGGGCAATCTCAGCATAGGCCCTCAGCACCAAAGCTTAGCTCTCACACCACACACGCCGGGCATGCAGCTCACTTAACCCATATTATTTGCAATAAAAAGCATGGGGGGGGGGGTGCCACATTAGTGAATAGAAGTTGTGTCCCTGAAGGCCCAGGATGGGTAAGGCTGTGGTCATCTGAACGCAGTGCACAGTACACCTGGACCATTAAATGGGAAAATGAACCTCTGCACATCACGTCGGAGCAGCGCTATCACAAAGCTCCTGCCAGCAGTCACAGAGCTAACGGATTCCCTGAGATCTACTCACAGCAGCAATTTCTGTGTCTGGGGCAGGGATGTGACCAGAGGCAAGCCAGGTGAGGGTGGGCGGGCCTGGGAACATAGGTGACTACTTTGCAGCATCTGGAGGTGACCGAGCAGCCAGCCCCCCAGAGAAGTCATCCTGGGTTCCAGCCCAGCAGTGGGACGTCACACCCACCCTCACCCTCACTGTAAGACCTCAGTCGTGCACTTGGGCCATTGGACAAGGAAGGTCAAGCCCGAGCCAGGCCCCAGGCAGCCCCAGGAGGTGCCTCTGCCCCAGGCCCTGGATGCCTAGGCCCTGCACTCTGGGCACACCGTTCAGGCAGGGGGTGTGCCGGAAGCAATCCCTCTTGCAGTTGTGGCAAGGCCAGGGTAGCACAGATATACCCCCAGCAGCCCAGCAGCCTGGGACCCCAGCAGGATCTTAGTTCACCCTGACCCCAGAGACATGTGGCAAACCCCAGGAGCAGCTCCGTCCCACCCCATTTCCCTCACCAGGGGACATGGCTACAGGAACCTTGACCTCACTACACAACCCAAACCCACTGCCCCACGGACCCCTGGTGTGCTCTGGCAGGCAGATGGACGTGAGGAGCAGAGTCTTCAGGTAGATGAACAGAAGGTTCCCAAAGCCACCCTCTCAGCTCCAAGGGCTCACCCCCTCCTTCCATGGCATTATCAAGCCTCAGGTTCCCCATCTGAGCAGGGCCTCAAGGATTGTAGCAGGTAACCTGTGTAGAGTGGCGTCCCCTCCACCATCCCTAACCCCATCCAGGGACATGTCCAGCTCTGCTCACGGGAGGAGCAAGGAACCCCCAGCCTGAGGACCTGTGACTCACAGACATTTTCAACAAGGTGTTATGTTCAGTGAAAAGCTTATTTTAAAACAAATTAAAAGGGACAAAGGCCTTTGGGGCAATGACATGTCAAGCTGATGGGTCTCCTGCATGGGTTCGTTCCTTCTCAGTTTTCCAGCTAAATATTAGTGGCTCGTTTATTTCTAATGTACCACTTTCTTATTTTGCAAAACCAAGGCCTTTCTGGGCTCTGTTCTATGTGTTTGACCCTTGGTGACTTCCTTGCTTTTGCTCCTCCTGGTACAGACTTCCATGTCCTTCTTGTCTATCTGTTTGATTTACTGTCTAAGTCAGTTCATCTTATTAATAACACAGACGTCTGTCCATCTCCTGGCCCTACACAGGGCTCTCAGAAGCCCATAGCTGCCTTGGCAGGACAAGACTTCCACTTCTCTGCCTCTGGGAAGTCAGCTGCCCACAACACCCAGCAAACAAGCCCTAACTGGACAAGGCTGTGACCATCCCCCTCCTGTCCATGAACTTCAACAGCCCCTCCCAGCACTGATCATAAAAATATTCTGTCTGTTCAATGTGAGAGTCACAGGCTCCGTGTGCATGAAGCACTTGAAATGTTGCCAGTGAGAGTCAATTTTACATTTTAATGAAATTAATTAGACAAGTGCTCTACTGCTGAGCCACAACCCCAGCCCACCCCCCACTTTTTTTTTTTTTAAATGCGGTGCTGAAGATCGAACCCAGGGCCCTGCCAAAGTGAAAATATCTAATTTTAAAGTATTACAGTTTCTTTTAGAAACAATTCAAAGTACTTGACATGCAATATAGAAGCTTAATGGTCATCAAAGAGCTCATGGATTAAGCCAAATTAGTTCCTTTTATATACACTCTCTCACTACATAAAGGGAATACTTCCTGGACTAACGTATTTGTATGTTAAAAGTAACTCGCAATTGCCCAGCAGATACACAATTATGTGCAGAATGGGTTGGGATGCTATCTTATGATAATAAGACTAAAAAAAAAAAAAAGAAATCAATTAGATTTCAAATAAACTACAATTTTAGCAGGCACATGTGAGCTACCATTTGGGATGTCGTAGGCCTTGATGTCATAGGCTTAGAGAATCAAGTCAGAATAATTCAGCCTGGCATTCATGGCTCTAAACCCTATCACCTGTCCCCGCCCCATACATTCTGCATAATCATGAGTACATCATTATGTCCAGCTCGAGTCTGTGTGGCCCCCCTGTGTCTGCCTGGACTGCCACTTTTGCTGTCTGTGCTTGTTGGTCCCATCTCCTGCCCTCACCCCCTGCAGACTCAAGGCCTGTTCCTGAGGCACAGCCCTGAACCCCAGGAAGAAGGAGGCCACTCTCCCTCCCCCGCAGACAGAGGCATGGTGGCAAGGAGGGAGCAGGAAACAGGAATGGAACTAAGCTCTTCTATTACCTTTCTAGGTGGGAAAATACCAGATCCCAAAAGAATCACCATGGAAGCAAATCTGGCAAGAATCTTGTCAAAGCAAGCAAGGCCTTTCCTTCCTGGAGAGTCCCAGCTCCTGGCTCACTCTCCCCATTCCTGTTGGACTCCTCCCTCATGCTATATCTCAGCCTCCCCTCTCCCGAGGCAACAGAGGAGGATCCCAGCTTCTCCATCACTGAACACACACACAAGCAGCCAGGTTCCCAGGCCCCTCCTTAGGACTGCCCATGCTCCTTCTGTCCCGTCTGGCTCTTGTCCCTGCAGGGCTCAGCTCCTACTAGGGAAACTCCCTGTGGGCAGCTTTCATTCCAGTCTTCAGAAACCACATGCCCCTCACACACCTGCACCCCAGACTTGCTCATGGCCTGTCTGAGCCCACTTTCTGGGCACATCAGGCTGCACAAGGTACCCACATATTACCATTTCCTGAGCCACTTCATCAGGGGTCTCCTTCTCTAGGTCAAAGGTGAACTCTATGGCACCATTGTCCTTGGGTTTGCCCTTCAGCTTCTTGGGGTCTTCCACCCAGAGCCGCAGGGCAATGGTGGACTTCCTGCCATGGTCCTCCTCTGCAAGTTCCACTCTGACACCAGTGTCCTCTGCAAAGAAGGCGTGGCTCAGCAGGTCCTTGATCTCGTACCTGGAGGGAGAACAGCTCACAGGCAGGGGCTCGGGGACAAGGGGCTTCTGTGCCCAGGCTCCCTGTGCAGTGCCTGCATCCACAAAAGGGCTGTGGCCACACACTCACACATAATATTGAACATGGGCAAAGGCTGCCACCCCTTGCAGCTGGGCACTGGGCAGGCTGTACTAGAAAGTTCTCTGACTTTACTACTTGGTGGGCCCTGAGGATGGCACCCAACAGCATTCATTTGCCTTCCTACAAGAGACTACAAGGAGATGAGAAAATGTTCAGATCCATATCTGAACCGACCTTACTGCACTACATTTTAAGACTTCCATCTTCTCCCCCATTATAAAAAGAAAACAGGCTCATTTTTTAAATCCGTCCACTATACAGACAAAGCCCCTCCTGATATGCACTGAGCTTCCATCCCCACTTGGCGCTGGGTGGAACCAGAGGAGTCAGAACCCCACCCCCATGTACTCCCCCCAAATGCCATGAGGGGGTTCAGGCCTCCCTGAACCCACCCGAGGTGGGCATGCCGCCTTAGAGATAGACTGAACAATTGATTACAAAAAATAGGCAGCCCAGAATTCAGAAGGGAGGGAAGGGGCTGAGGCAGATCTGGAAGCCCCAGGCACAAAGGTATTCGCTGAAGTTGGAGAAATGGACACAACTTCTAGGAACAACTAGAGAAAAAGAAAAAAAAAAGGAGCAGAGGAAAGTCCCAGGTTCTCAAACACTATAGGCTGGGATGGGAATGTGTTCCCAGACAGCAGAAAAGGACATGAGCCTGAGGGTGGCCCACCCCCTCCCCCAGCTCCCCAGCCTGGTGTCGCTGTGGCCTGAGCCAATCCATCTGGCCTCTGAAGTTCTCTCTTGTTAGAATGTGGCTCTAAATACCAGCTGGAGTGGTTTCAGCTGGAGAAAGACCCAGAACCCAACACCGCACTGGAACTCACCTTTCCTCCTTGTTCTTGCAGATGCACTCCCCAATAATCTCCTTGATTTCAGGATCATGCACTTTCTCAAAGCTGGCTGGCTTGATGCCCTGAGAAGGATAAAGCAGAGTCACCTGACACCATTCAGGAGCTGACAGGCGCCATCTCCACCCCTTGCAGAGAAATTGCCTCCAGGCATGATAGCAAAACCAGTCTTGGGCTCACCCTACAGAGACTACAAGGACACTGGACAAAACAGGCCAAATGGCCACGGTTGGACACTGGATGACAGGTGGTGCAGGATGTTGGGCTCAGAGAAAGAAACCCCTGGAGCCCTCGCTCTCACAGCCCAGCTCACTGCCTGGGACAGTTCCCAGACTAAGTAAGGCACAGAACCCAGTAGAGCAGGGGTCCCACTGAGTTGAAGGTGGAGCTCAGAAATCAGGAGGGTGAGAAGGCCAAAAGCAGAGTTCTGGAGAGGGTCTCTGCAGAATAAAGAGGTGGATGTCTGCATTTGGTCCCCCTGAGTCTTTGCTTAGTACCACACCACAAATGCATAGTCAACACCACAGGGTTGGCTAGAGAGCTACCGGGGAGCTGGAGGCAGAGCCATTCCCAGAGTTCACACAGAGCAGAGACAATGTAATGCGTACGATGTACAGCACGCCATCGAAAATTACTAGATACCCTGGGAGGCAGAAAAATGTGACCCAAGACCAGGCAGGAAAAACAGTCAACAGAAACGAGAGAGTGCTACAGCCTACAGACAAGGAGGTTAAAACTCACTGCAGCCATATACAAATCTTAAAGGAAAATGTATATTATGAGGAACAGAAATGATGGATATTAAAATAAAATTTAAAAAGAGGGAGGGACCAGAAATGAATAACATGACATCTGAATTGAAGGTCTCACTGGAGCAGATCAACCACCAATCAGACAGCGCAGAGGGGAAACCACGGCAGCAAGATCCATCAGAAACAGGGCACTGTTCTGCTCATTTCAGAATTTGGGACACTATAGCAAGGATGAAATAGGCACATGACACATATAAAACTAAGAGAAAGGGATGGGGGTTGGGATAGGAAAAAAAATTTGAAGAAATGCTGGCCAAAGATTTTCCAACTTTGATGAAAATTCTGTGCCCAAGGATGAAGCACACTCCAGCCCTAGGCAAGACACAAAGCAGAACAGGGAAGAGATCAGAGAGTTGTGTGAAGCCACAGAGATCCACTCTTTAATCTCTGCCCCCACTGCGGGAAGCCAGGAGCCTGGTTTCCTACCATTTAGGTCTCTGTATGGAGGACACCTTCTCCAGCTACCGTATATCTGTTGAAGTATGTGGCAGCCACCACAGACACCAGCCCCCCAGCCTCACACCCGGGTTGATGGCCCCAATCCCCATCTCCATGGTGACCATCACCCCGGCAACAACACACAACGCAGCTTCCACCTGTGCTGCAGAATCTGACACTGGGGTTGACACCTCAAATATAGCAGTCAGTTTCTGGAAAGGTGTTGATCAGAGCTTGGCTGCGGAGCCTCCCCTGAGTGGAGCCTCCGGGGCCTCCCACACCAGCTGCCCCGTCATCTGGGAGGAAGAACCGCAGCGACGCGGTAGGTTTGACGCTTCCCACAGACCAAGCCTTTGTAACCACACCTGGGATTCCTCCCCACAACCCCTCCTTGAGGGGGCACGAGTGCTATTTGTGGTCACTGCTGCTGGCTGAGGGCCAGGCCAGGAGACTTTCAGGCAGAGGGGCAGGGGAAGGTGGTACCAGGCTGAGGCCAGTCGCTCCTTGGCCAGCCAATGCTCACTTGCTCCTATGCCGAGGGACCATAAATGCAGCCCCGCAACAGAAACAGGATCTCAGAAGCAGGGCCCCCAAGGGTTCATCTGCAATCTGCTCTTGGGGTACGGGGCAGGGAAAACGAATTAAAAAGTATTTTAAAACATTATCACAACAAGATTTAGCCTTCTTTTGAAAGCCTTGTCCTGGCTCTTTGTGTGTGTGTGTGTGTGTGTGTGTGTGTGTGTGTGTGTGTGTGATTTAAAGACCATAAAATATGAATTTGCCCAAAGAGACTGAAGCAGGGAGGGAGGAGAAGGCAAGGAGGTTGAGAGAGATGTGCACACAGAGCCCAGCTCCTGGAGCCCCCAGCTACGTGGACATGTGTGAAGAACCTCAGACCCCAGTCTGCCACACACCCCACTGGCCCAGAGTCAGGAGCACACTCAGCCCTGAACCTGGGGCCTTTCCATCCCCACTCCCAGGACAAACCACCGTCCACCACAGTGCAAACCAGAAGCCCAGAGGCCCCTCCCCCCACCCTCCCCAGCACCCACTGCAGACCACCCTCGCTCCCCTCAAGGAACTCTGTGCCAGCATGTGGGCTTCTGTGCCAGGTCCAAGAGATTGCCAGCCAAAGACTCTTCCCCACCGCTGCCCACAGCACACACCAGAGGAGCTCCATCAAGTGACTGATGACTTAGAACTAACCGCCCAAGGAGAAAAGCAGGGACCATCTACGAAGAGGGCTCAGCTGCAGGGATGGCTCAGGGCAAAGCTGAACCACCTTCCGGCCACCCAGCTGCATGGACAAGTCACATGCCCGACCTGGGCTGCTCTGGCTGTGTGCTCCCAGGCTGAAGCGGAGGCAGTGAGGACTCTAGGGACAGCAACACCTGTGGCCAAGGTCAGGGGCGGCTCTGCGGACCTTGTGGCCTCAGCACAAGAATCAAGATGGGACAGCACGGAAATCAGCACAGAAAAGCCCTGGCCTGGCCACTCCACCTCCACAGGTTCTGTTTTTCGTTCCCTTGTCCAGTGGGGCCACCACAGAGGGAGAACAAGGCCCATCTGTTTGTACAGCTGAAGCCATCTGATCAACTCAAAAATCACAGTGACAGCAGAACAGGGATTAGAGTTCCCAGGCTAGCCAATGGTGACAGCCGCCCAGAGATACGCTTCACTAGGGGTGATGGCTTGGTGAAAAGGAAAACAAACTGTGGTTCCAAAATAAAGAAGATGGGGAAGCCAGCAACCCTGGTCGGCCACAGCGGGCCCCCAGGGACAGCCAGCCTGGCCAGGCACACCTCCTGCAGGGGCCCTGGTGGAGCTTCAGCCTCCTGAGCCTCAGTTTCCTTGACATCCTGGGCCTCCCAATGCTGCACGTGTGGGAGCCTCTGAGGCAAAGCGCTGCCCAGGGTGCCCGGTCACTACCATCATGGTTGCTAGGAGACAAGCCTCAGTGTCCCCATCTGGAGGATGGCCATGCTCTCTCCTTTTCTTATGTCACCATGGGGACTTTCCCAAAGCCCGCAGAGCCAGCTGAGGCTATGGTCCACACCCACGGCCACATCCTCATTATCAAAGAGCTGGATGGACTCACACAGGTGACCTTGCGGTAGATCTGTGCAGCATTCTGGCACTCTGAGTAGGGGTACTCCGAGGTGGCCATCTCCAACATGCACATCCCGAAGGCATAGACGTCAACAGACTCATCGTAGTGTTCCTCGTACATCTCGGGCGCCATGAACTCGGGCGTACCTGTGCCAGGAGCAACAGATGCAGTGGTCAGGTGGCCACAGCCCAAGAGCAACAGGAGCCAGTGCCCAGGAGCCCCCTCAGCCTCTCAGAGCCACCCAACCTCCTCCCCTTTCGCCCCATGGCACTCTCAGGACACCCAGCTCTACCAGGTCCATTCTGGCCCCCATGATTCAAACAGGTATACTGTACAGAAGAAGCTTCCAAAACTTCCACCTGGAGCCTTCTAATTCCAGCACTGTGATCAGTTCACAGCATACCTGCTGCCCACAGAGCTAAGAGACCATGACCTCCCAGAGGACACGTCCCTACCCTGGACACATCCCTCACTTGTGGGTGGATATTGTGCCCCTGAGGACAGGCTCCGCACTGGCCAGCACCCACTAATCCAGAACAGACAAACCCTGGTGGTCACCACAGAATGTCTTGTAACTGCAAAAACCCAGGAGGCCCTAAGTATTCCCAAACAGGGGAATGGCTAGGTTTGCTGGGCACACCTCACAACAGAGTGCCACATAGCTCCCGTGGCTGTTGTGGCAAAAGATAGCAAAATGGCAACTACCTAGCATGGTCCACAGAGTCCTTAAGACGGGAACTGCTCAGTGTATTAAACACGAAAGATCCAAACAGTGTTGGCACTGAGTCTGTAAGGATCTAGAAATGCAGGACAGGCTTGTAAAATAAACTGCTCAGGGCCTCACCTGTGTGAAATAGCACTCCCAGCCAGATGGCTCAGTGGGGATAGGGGGGTTGATTTTCCTTTTACTTATTTCTGGATTTTCAATTTTTTTTTTTTTTTGATTTCTGGGTTTTCAAATTTTTCTATAATGAGATTTTGCTTTAATAATCACAAAAGCTTTTTATTAAAACAAGTCCTACTAAGTGTTGAGCTGATATAGGATAAGAGACATCAGAGTAAGGCTGCTTGGAACATCTGTAGATTTGCTGGAAGATTTTTCATAACATTCTAGTTGTTTTTTTTTTTTAAGTTGTAGTTGGACACAATGCCTTTATTTTATTTATTTATTTTTATGTGGTGCTGAGGATCGAACCCAGAGCTTCGCACACACCAGGCAAGCACTCTATCGCTGAGCCACAATCCCAGCCCCTTGGTTTTGTTTTTTTTTTTAAGCATATGTAAAATCATACAAACCTATTAATTGCAGTAGAAAGCACATAATGGGTTTTCTCTTCTGCATTGTTTCAATTTTCAAAAACATTAACATTTTGGGTAAAAGTGGGGAAAACAAGAATGTATATGTAAGTGTATATGCAGGAATACAGAACTTAGAAGAATCCACCAGAAATAGCAGGGGCTGAATGGAGTCAGAGGCACCTGACACTGGAATTTTGATCCTCTTGGGTTTTTGAACCACATGGTTACATTGAAAATGTTTTTGCACTGCTAATTAAGTTAATATTTTTATGTTTCCTGCCATCCCTAAGCCTGTCACAGAATAGTAAATGTGCTCCCTAGGCCGGGGCAGTAAGCAAGGACTCCACAAAAGCCACAGCAGGGAGGTCACAGACAGCACTGGCCTGAGCCTTGGGGCTGGTGACAACATGAACACCTGCTCTCAGGTTCCTCCCACCCCCTGACATGCTCTGGGGTGCCCTGGCAGATCTGAGGGGCTCGTCACCAACTGCCTGGGCCTGGACCATCTTGACCCCTGAGGGCCCAACATGCAAGAGATGAAGCCGCTGAGTCAGCAGGAAGCTCCACACTGCAGGAAGGAAGGGCCTGCTCTGCGGGGCCACTTCAACTGCCCACAGTGCCACCCACGCTACTAGTGGACAACACACAGAGACGGCAGAGAAAAGCCACAACAAAGCCCTTTCCTGCTGCAGGAGCCGGCCAGGAGGCCCAGGGGGTGGACCCTCAGGCCTTGGCCTGACCACCTCTACCGCAGGACCACGGGGAAGAGCTTGAGGGGAGCTTGGTCGCCAGGGCTGCGGGAAGGAAGCCAGGAGCGGAGCTGGCCACTCCCTGGCACCTGCAGGGACCCCATTCACCCAGTTGCCCACACAGCACCAGGGCCTACGAGGAGGTCCTTGGTCTCGGTCTCCGTTGAGACCTCAAGGAATGGAGAACCTTGTTCTTCAAGAAAGACGTCACGACCCCAGACGGCCTGGCTCCAGGGAATGGGCTCTGAGGGTGGGGTGGGGCTGGACCAACTCTGGGCGCTGAGAATGCCTGATTCTACACACCTGGATGCCGGGGCTCTCTTCTCCTTCCTTCACACAGCAGCCATTTAAATCTGAATTTTAGCAAGAGTGTGTGTGTGCAGGGGTGTGTGTGCTCATACCCACGTGGGTCCAGTGGATAGTCCACTCCCTCTCCTACTTTGTGCTTTGCCATCAGCTGCAGAGCCACTCCCAAGGAGCCCAGGCCCACAGACCCCTTACACACCCTCCATACCCCCAGGTCTCTACAGATGAAACTTTGCATCAAGTGAAGACTCTGGGTCCCATCTCTCCTCCCCGAACCCCGCTGTGGGCGTGAGACCAGGCACTAGAGACGGCGCCTGGAGCAGCCCCCTCCCACTCCCTCCTACAGAGGGCAGGCAGAGTGATGGCCACAGTTTCTCTTCTGCTTTTTAACAGAGAAGTGGCTGTAGCTCTGTGGCTATGAGGCAGGAGAGGTAAGGAGGGAGCCCGACTATAGCTGTGGAAACTGTTCTGCATTAGGATCTGCCTATTTCTGGGACTGTCCTGAATGACAAATGACTTCCTCTATGGAAATGGAAGCCCTAATCCTAGCCCTATCTGTCCTCAAGGTTTATGTTAGAACAAAACCAAACTAACCCATCTTCTCACTGGACAGGGAGAATCTCCGTCCCTCTCCCCCAGCAAGATGGACACGGGGTCCTCAACAGCCTGGAGCCCCTGAGTGCTTATTTGTAATGGCCACAGGTGCCCAACAGCCAGTCCCTCTCCCACCCTCTACCCGGCACATCAAGCCCATCCACTTGGCTCTTTCTGGAATAACCACCCTCAGTTCTCCTTGGCCGCCTACTCAGTTCACTCTCTCTAGGCCTGGTTCCATCGTCACTGCCTCCAGGAAGCCCTCCCAGGTGAGCCAGGCACCTCAGCAGTCCCAGGGCTCTGCTCGCTACGTGGCCACCTGCACAGATGGAGACAGCAGACACAACTGCATCCCTGTCCCCCATCCCTCAGGGCCTCACCCAGCCTGGTTTAGCTCATATAAACCAGAAAACACACACACACAGTGAGGCTGTGAGATCCGGGCAATCAAATCCTGTTGGGGACAGCTAAGAGCACACAAAGATGGAGACCAGGGTGACAGAACAGCAGGGGTCATGATGTTGAGGGTGGTATGAGGACAGTGCCTTCCTGAAACCATATGCTCTCGCCCCTAGAGCAGCCAGAGGACCACTGACCCCCACCCTGACATGTGCCACATCTAAAGTGCAAACCTCAGCCTTCCAGGGGAACCTGATGGCCACAGCAGAAATAGGTCCACAGCATCAACCGCTCCCACGGGTGCCCCAGACGTACAATTAGCGGGGGGCCTCATCCTGAAGAGAGGGGGCCTGTCCTTCCAACAGGATGACAGACTCCAGGAGGGCTTGGCCCATTTACCACCAGGGCAGCACATTGGTGGGCTGCCTGAACTGACACCCCTCTTCACAGGCAGGGGTCCCTACTAACAGACCCAGGGGAGGGATTCCATTCATAGGACTGGGGGGTCCCTACTTGCCCACAGCCCTTCACCAGCTGTTGGCCCCTGCTCAGGACGGCCCTCTCCCTCCAGGGACCAGGAAAGTCCCATGAACCGAGCCTCTTTCTCCCTGAGCAGAGGCAGCCAAGGACACTGCTGGTCCCAGCCCCTCTCGTCAAAGCTTCCTGGGCTCCAACTGAGCAAGAGCCGGGGTGACGAGGGATATACCCTGCAGAGCTGTGCCACTGTGCACAGGGCCTCGCTGCCCCTGCCAGAAACACCCAGACTCCTTCTCAACTGCCTCACGCCATCCAAGCTGGCAACGTGAAACCATTCCCAGGACAGCGACGAGCTCACGGGTCAGTGGAGGCCCAGGAGCCCGCTGGTGCCCTGGCTTCCTCCAGTGGGATGTCCTTTGTCACAAATGTTTACTTCTGAGGCAAGTCACCAAGAGCAGTCTCCTGCCACCTGACAGCCCAGGGTCTGAGACCAGAGTCACTTCCAAGAGAAGTTAGCCAAACCAGCCTGGGAACTGCCCAGAGGTTCCAACTAGCTGGGGTGCGAGCCACCCACAGTCCTGCAGCCCAGCACTTGCCCCCTCCAGGATGGAAACTAGACCCTCCCCTGTATCACCCATTTCACAGTCAGAGAAGCTGAGATTTGGGTCCGTCTCTGCTTCCTACAACTCGACTCCCCTGGGGCCGTCAGAGACCCTGTGCCCAAAGGGCTTCCGCCTAGACAGATGCATCTGCCCCGGTGTCCTAACACACTACTCCAACCAAAGCAGTTCCTAGAGATCATCCGGGGTTTCGTTTTCCCAAATAGGCTAAGTTCTTTCCCCAAATGTGCAGAAATATCATGAATTCACTAAACCCAGAGACCAGCCACTCACTGTCCTTGTGTAGCCAGCCCTCATGCAGGAGGGACAGGCTGGGTCTTGATTAACACGGATCGCAGTGAACTCTCCCAATCCCTCGGGCATCCTGACTCCCAGAAGGAGATGCTCCTGCGGCCCCTCCAGGCACATTCTTCCCAAAGTCCACAAGGACCCTCCTGGGGTCTGGTGAACTGTGAGCACCACAGTGCCAGGACCAACAGGAGTGGACACAGAGCAAGATGTGAACCCCCACCCCCACAGCCTGGAGTCCTCTTTCCCCCGCTGCCAAAACCAGCCCCAGCATCACTGTCACAAGCTCCCTAGTTCCTCTGTGGTGGTGCCCCTTCCCCTCCCTCAAGTGACCACAACACCCACACATACCACAGGAAGTTGGCACTTGGCCCACCACCCCACCAGATGATCAGAGCTGTTACCTAACACAGCCAGGGAGTTACTGCAGAGACCAGCCAGGCCCCGAGTCTGGACAGGGTGGAGATGGGGGATCAGAGTCAGCATGTCCAGCTGGAGCAGGCAGTGTGTTCCCTACCAGGCAGGTCTCCTGTCCAAGCACCAGAGGCTGGGAGGGACAGCTCTGACACCCAGCCTGAGGCCTCATGCCCAGATGCCCCCTACCTGTGCAGGACCTCCTGCACAAGTCCAAGGTGGCCCCTCGAATGCTGCCCGGTCCCACGTGGGCTCCCAGGGCCTGGGGAGGAGAAATGGGCTTACCTATCACACTTTTGGCGAATGATGCTCTTTTGAGGGTGGCCAGGCCCAAGTCACCAATCTTCACAGACCCAGTTGGCCCAGTGATGAAGATGTTGTCACACTTGAGGTCACGGTGGATGATGGGTGGTGTCCTCGTGTGTAGGAATAGCAGGCCCTTCAGGATCTGCCGGCACCAGCTGCGCAGCACCTTGGGCTTCATCACCTTGAACCGCTTCAGGTACCTGGGATGGGGGCAGGGCTCACCAGCCAACTCCCAGGCAGAGGCCCCTCTGCAAAGCCTCACCTGGCACCATCCAGCCTATCTCACATCCCGTCCACTTGCACTCAGTACTCACTTGTGATGGGTTTAGGGTGACAGAGGAAGGCTAGGCAGTTATGTTCCAGGATTATGCAGCCAGAGCCAGGCCCAGGACAGAGGCAGCCAGGCCAGGACTGTGACCCTTCACTTGCTCCTTGCACTGGAGACTTTGCTACTAAAGCCCCTGCCAAGCACAATCCTGATCTCACCCTGAAAGGGGCCAAGGTCGACATAGAAGCCACCATGATAGGTCAGGGTCTCAGCCACTGGATGCTCAGAGTGAGGGCTGGGGTGAGAGGAACCACGGGGGCCAGAGGTCAAGAAGGCCAGGCCTCCCTGCAACTCCCCACCTGTGTGATCTGCTCTAGGGTGTCCCTAGAAGACAGCAGCAGGTACGGCTGGCAAACGGGCTCTTCCCTTGCCATGCCTTCATCTGTGAAAGAAACTGTCCTGTGGCACAGGGACACTGAGGTCCTGTCTGAGACCACAGGATCAGAACAATTCAGATGAACCCAGGCTGTGGAGGGAAGGTCTCCTGTGCCCACAGTGCAGGGCAGGGCCGCAGGGAGGAGCAACAGACTGGCATGGCCATGCATGGCCACCCCTGGCCACGGAGCTCCTGACCCCCACCTTGCTCTGTCCAGTGCTTGACACCTGCTTCAGCACTCACCCTAAAAGTAGTGGACCCTTTGCAAAGCCCTGCCTAGCGCTGTCCAGCCGGTTTTAAAGCCCACCTGTGTACACTGAGCCACCAGAATGTGCCGATGGCTCCCAGGCAGAAGCAGGACCTCGGCCACAATAAGGGCAGACAATGAACCGCTTCCCTGGGAAGTCAACAACCTCCCCATGTCCACGCAGGGGACAGTCTTCCAGTTATGTCCTGGCGACAGGTCCCATTTGTCAGAGGAAGCCAGAGGGAGCCAAATGCAGAAAGAACCATTGGGGGCCTTTGATTTGCTTCCCACTGCCCAGAGGACAGAGACCTACCACCCCAAAGGACACCCAAGAGGCAGGACGCTGGACCACAGGCACCAGCCAGGACAGCCCCAGGCAGTCCAGGGCCTCCGTCACCCTCCAGTCATGACTCTGGCTCACAACAGAGACCACTCCAGCCCAGAACAGGCTGCACTTACGTCTTCAGCGTCCCCGAGGTCATCAGCTCCGTCACCAGCACAATGCACCGCTTGCCCTTGGCACTGGACTCCCAGAAGTCATAGAAGCGCACGATGTTGGGGTGCTGCAGGCCCTTCAGCATCTCCGCCTCCTCCTTGAACCGCTGCCGCTCCAGCTTGGTGAGCTTCCGGTCCTAGAGTGAGACACAGACAGAACCAGGCGGGCAGCGCAGTGGACCTCGGCCTGCAGCCTCTTCAGGGAGTGCAGCAGGTGTGGGGACCGGGGCACAGGAGGAGGTGGAGGCCACGCTGAGGCCTTGGAGGCCCAGCCTGTCTCGGCCACACCTCCCCTGCTGAACCAGATCTTCCTCTCTACCCAGAGCCACCAGCAGTCCATGACAACTGACCCTTCAGGCCCGCCACCCTGGACACAGTCCCTGCACAGGGACCTCCACCCAAAGAAGTCCCGGGAAGCCCGAGACGCTTCACAACCCCCACTGCCAAGCCCATGGGCTTTTTCCATAAAAACACCTCAGAGACCTTTGTCCCCTCAGTCATCATTTACTTCCTGAGTGTTTGTTAAGAGAATGAAACATCAGTTTGCTCCTCGTGTATACACAACTCACAGGAAGGGCTCGAGACCAGGATATGGACCAGAAGAGACACTGACGAGAGCCAGAGACCAGAGCTCATGTGAGGAAGGAGCCGTGACAAGCGCAACACAGCGGAGCCGCCGCGGGGGCCCCTGGGGCAGGCGGGGGCAGCTCGGCCCCCCCAGCCACAGGCCACTTTGCCTGGCCAGCCCAGCAGAACTAATCCACTGGCCTCAAGTTTAAAATGGGGAACAGCAAACAAACACCACCGTTGCCTAAAAGGGCCCTTCATCAGGTGTGTGAGCTGTCCAGAAGCTCTGCCCACGGCCGGGGTAGGGCACCAGTACCTTGCCCCACGTTCAACTGCCTCAGGTCCAACCACCCCAGCACCGCCTACCCCGCCCCCACTGGTCCCAGCAGCTACCATCCCTTCCTGGACTCCTCCGCCTGGTCTCCTGCCTCACTGTCCCCTATGACCCACTAGACCTGGCCCTTCCCTTCCCGAAACCCTTCACAGGACTCTTACCACCAAGCCCTCAGAATAAACCCAAAGACACAGGAACTCAAGGCCTCTGGGGGCTTCCAACTTCATCTCCCCACTCTGCAAGCACCCCGAGACCTTCTCACCTCTAGGCCCCCCAGCTTCACCTCCTGGGTTTGGTCCAAGAGGCCCCCAAAGCAATGCCTGCCTCCTCCCACCCAGGAGCCGCGGAAATGTGAGAAAAAAAGACGTGTATTTTCAAAAGGCAACCATAAACAAATGAACACAGAACAGAGAAATTCCCAGGAACTCCAGGGAGACGGAAAGCAGGTGAATTTGGATAGATGGTGGGAGAGATCAGAGCTGAACGGAAACACAAACCAAGACCCTGGAATCCTTCCAGAAGGCCTCGAAGAACATCAAGCTGGACCTCAGCATGGGAGGAGAGGTGGCTTATGAGGTCATGATAAGAGTCGTCTTGTCAAGGAGTCATATCCCAGATGATGGCTGTACCCATTAACAACCCTGCCAGACCCCATCCCCTGCAACACAAGCCCTAAAGAGCCCCTTCACTCAGCAGTGAGTCGAGACAGCAACCATCACCAACAGTGCCAAGCAGCCAAGAGAAACCACCAACGTGGCCAAACCCAGAAAAACAAATAATTCAGGGACCAAAGGCAACATTAATTAATGTTCCCATAACGATCCAAGAAGTAGACTTGCATACAGAACAGCAAGATTCTATTTAAAAAGGAATAATCAAGAGAGATTCTTGCAAATTAAAAAAAAAATCTATTTTAAAAATAAGATATTCCACAATCCAACAAACCATTAAGTATAAAAAAAGTTAATTTTCAGATAATAAAAGGGAAATCGTGTTCCACTCATTAAAATGATTATTTATCTAAGAAAATAAAATCCAAGCCACAAAATAGAGAAACTACTTTTTTTTTTTTTTTTTGCAAAACTATTCTTAATACATGTATCTAGCAAAAAGGACCAGGACCCCGTATATAGAGAACTCCTATAACAATAACAAAACAGAACACAGATCCTTCACCAAAGGAGGTGCAGAGATGGCAATGGTACCTGAAAGGTGCTGAGCCTCCTTAGTCATCAGGAAAACGCCAATTAAAACCACACTGAGATGCCACTTCACACCCACCCAGAGGGGCCAGATTTATAGATTGACAATTCCAGCTTCCGAGCAACCAGGAAGAGGCAAGGCAAGTGCTTTGGGGGCCTCCTGGACCAGGCCCAGGAGGTGAAGCTGGGGTGGCTGGAGGTGAGAAGGTCTTGCAGAGTGGGGAGATGAAGTCGGAAGCACCCAGAGGCATTGAGTCCTGCTCACACAAGTTGCTGGGCGAGGCCCTTGGGAGGTTTACACCTGCTGTGTCCAGCCGTTCCCCTCATGGAGAGCCAACTGAGAGAATGGGAACAAGCCCACAAAGACGGACACAAGGATGTTCCCAGCACCTGCGTTTGTTCACCGTGTCCGCAACTGGAAGCAGCCAAAACATCTGTGGGCAAATGCATGAAAGCCGACCCATGGTATCCCCATCGCCACGGGAATGTGACTCAGCAGCCAAAGGGGAACAATTCCTGATTCTCACCACACCTCGGATGAAAGCATTAAGCTCAATGAGAGAAGCCAGACACAAGGATATGTCCAGTCTGGTCCCGTTTTGATGTAAGATTCTGCAAGAGATGGAACTAAGGCAAGGAGGCTCACCATCTGTTGCCTCTGGGTGGGCAGAAGTCAGTCTCTGAGAGAACACAGGGGCGAGAAAATGTTCTACATCATAGCAGAGAATGTGGGCTGCACGTGTGCCTGCCTTTGTCAAAGATCATCAACTCGCATATTGAAGATCTCTGTGTTTCACTCCGTGTAAATCACACTAAGGTGTAAATTACACTTCAACTTTTCAAATGTTAAAAAAAAAAAAAAAGTGAAAGTATCCAAAGACCAAAGGAGAAAGGTAAAAGAAAGAAAGAAAATGAGAGAAAAAATATTAAGAGATACGAAGGAATCACCTGTAAGTTGAGCAACTGTGTAAGAGGAGTTCTAAGAACAGACGTGAAGTTTAAATAAACAGCAGAATAGTATTTCTCCAAACTGGGAGGGAAAAAAAATAGGATAAAAAGGCTTGCTGAGGCCAGATCAGAATAAATGAAAAATTACCCACTTCTGGACCTGGTCCAGTGGATTTTCAGAATCCTCAGGTCTGGGCTGCAAAGGAACAGCCCATACTGTGCAGGTGACAGGAACAGCATCGTCCAAGTGCTGACCTGGAATTCTATACCCAGCCAGACAGACATCTAGCCAAACCATCAAGACTCATTTTCAATCCGGCACATACCTGTAATCCCAGTGGCTTGGGAGGCTAAGACAAGAGGATCAGAAGTTCAAAGCCAGCCTCAGCAACTTAGCAAGGCCCTAAGAAACTCAGCAAGACCCTGTCTCTAGATAAAATATAAAAATGGGCTGGGGATGAGGCTCAGTGGTTAAGTGCCTCTGGATTTAATCCCCAGTATCAAGAAAGAAAGAAAAAAAGACTCATTTTCAGATATTCAGGAGCTCAAAACTTTACTTTGCACATGCCCTAAGCAAACCAAGCTCCTGGAATAACTTGTCACAAAATACAGAGCGATGCAGCAGGAAGGAGGCAGCCAAGGTGACCTCTAGTCCTGAAGATGAAGGCCACAGGAAGAAGATGGCCCCTCAGCTGGGCCAGCTTGCTCAGGAAGCCTTCTGTTATTTGGATGTGATGTTTAGATGTGAGGTGTCCCCCAAAAGCTCATGTGTGAGACAATGCAAGAAGATTTAGAGGTGAAATGATTGGGTTAGGAGAGCCTTAACCTAATCAGTGCATTTATCCCCTGATAGGGATTAACTGAGTGGTAACTGAAGGCAGGTGGGGTGTGGCTGGAGGTGGGTCATTGGGGATGTGGCTATGGGATATATATTTTGTCTGGTGAGGGTATAGTGTGCTGGCCGGCGCTCTCTCTCTCTCTCTCTCTCTCTCTCTCTCTCTCTCTCTCTCTCTCCCCCTCCTTCCTGGTACCATGTCCCCAGCTTCTTTCCTCCACCACATTCTTCTGCCATGATGTTCTGCCTCACTCCAGACCCTGAGGAATGGAACCAACTATCCGTGGACTGATATCTCTGAAACCAATGAGCCCCCAAATAAACTTTCCCTCCTCTAAAATTGTTCTTGCCGGGTCTTTTGGTCCAGCAGCAAAAAAGCTGACTCAAACATCTTCCCAAGGCAACGACCTTCCCTCTCCAAGTCCCTTCCTGTGGGCCTAGTCACAGACTTGAGACGTCATTTATAACATGAGTTATTTTTGCCAGTGTTTTACAGCATCAATCAACAGCAATGTGTGAAACTTTTCCTTGTGGCTTCTAAGCAAAATGTTCTTGTTGTAAACATAACTAACAAAAATGAGACGTAGAGGAAAGTACTCTGTATAGGCCACAGTCTTTTTTTTTTTTTTCTCTCAGTCCTGGGGATCCAATGTGGGACCTGCATATGCTAGGCAAGTGCTCTACCGCTGAGCTATACCCCTGACCACTGCAGTCCTCATTTTTTAAGGTCAGGTCCAGGTTAAAGTTGATAAATTAAAGACACAAAGGTCAGAAGTTATCAGCCATGGTGCCTTGGGATGGGCTGGGAAGTGGGGAGGAGACCTCATTGTATCTTCTATGCCACTGGGCTGTTTTTCCCAAAGTGACGTGCTGTTCGGTCATTTAAAGGTTAGCTAGGGTGTCCTCTGGGCATGGCCTTGTCCCTCACAGAGCTTGTCCAAGTCACCCTCAAATGTTCCTCCACTGATGGTCAGCCCCATTAGCCTGGTAACTCCCTGATACAGAACCAACCCAGTTAGTGAAACATTGTACCCTCTGGTGGGACGAGTTCATTCAGTTATCTACTGGGGGGGGCTCAAGACAGCAAGCAAGGTCAGGGAGAAAGCACCTCGTCTCTATGAGGAGGTTTCCAAATCCTATGAGAGTTGCACTGTTCTTAAAGGTCTGGGGGCTAAAGGCTGAGCTCCTGGCCCTCACCCCAGGGGGCTGCACAGACATCTCGTCCCACCTGGATGGGAGGGTAAGATCACT